CTTTCTCTCTCTTCTTCCTCTTTCAGTCTTTCTTTTTCTTTCTTTCTCTTACTATTTCTTTCTCTCTTTCCATTTCTCTCTCCCTCTCTCTCTCCTCTCCTCCTCTTCTTTTTCAGTCTCTTTTTCTCTCTCTTCTTCTTTCTCTTTCAGTCTCTCTTTCTCTTTCTTTCTCTTTCCATTTCTCTCTCTCTCCCTTTCCTCTTCTTCTTTCTCTTTCAGTCTCTTTTTCTCTCTTCTTCTTTCTCTCAGTCTTTCTTTTTCTCTCTTTCTTTTTCTTACTATTTCTTTCTCTTTCCATTTTTCTCTCTCCCCTTCTTCTTTTTCAGTCTGTCTTTCTTCTTCTTCCTCTTTCAGTCTTTCTCTTTCTTTCTCTCTGTCTTTCTCTATTTCTTTCTCTTTCCATTTCTCTCTATCTCTCCCTCCTCCTCCTCTTCTTTCTCTTTCAGTCTCTCTCTCTCTGAAAGGAAGACCTTTCAGTCTCTTTCTTTCTTTTTCTCTCTATTTCTTTCTCTTTCCATTTCTCTCTATCTCTCCCTCCTCCTCCTCTTCTTTCTCTTTCAGTCTCTCTCTCTCTCTTCCTTTCAGTCTCTTTCTTTTTCTTTTTCTCTCTATTTCTTTCTCTCTCTTTCCATTTCTCTCTCTCCTTCCCTCTCTCTCTCTCCCTCTCTTCTTCTTTTTCAGTCTCTCTTTCTCTGTGTGTCTTTCTTCTTCTTCTTCCTCTTTCAGTCTCTCTCTTTCTTTTTCTCTCTTTCTTTCTCTTACTATTTCTTTCTCTCTCTCTTTCCATTTCTTTATCTCTCTCTCTCTCCCCCCACCCCACCCTCCTTCATCAGACTTAGGCTTTTATGAGGAGTTGCTTTTTCATCATTCTTGGTTGTTAAAAAAAAATATGTCAGCTCAAGGATTACTAATCTTCTACTGCTCCAAAAAATTAAAACAGCGAGTAGGTGGGGGATCATTTTTGTCTGACTCTGCTGCTTAAGCAGAGAGCGCCTATCCTCTTCGCCTTTCCGGCATGGGATCAGCCTGCTGCCCAAATCTTTTGCTTATAAAAACATTGGGAGATCAAAGGTGTGTTCGGGGAAGAGCAGCCAAAATATATTTCTCCCTTTATTTACATAAGAAGCTTTCCTTCTGCGGCTCCCAAGAGTTGCCTATTTGTAATATGTCCCCATCTCTTTGTTCAAACGACTCCGACCGGTCTAAATTCACCCCACCCACCCCGGAATAATGTTGCTTCATGGCCCACCCAGTTCAGCCTTTCTGGCAAAAGCTTTTCAAAACACGGAGCTTATTTTCGTATCGTTGGCAGGAATACAGGTAGGTTAGTTCTCGACTTACGACCACGATTGAGCCCTGTTGCCAAGCGACAGTTGTGAAGTGCGTTTCGCTTCGTTTTACCATATTTCTCGTTGTTAAGTGAATCGCTGCAGTTTCGTTAAGTCGGGAACCCGGTCGTTAATTGAATCTGGCTTCTTCATTGGCGTTGCTTGTCAGTAGGTCGCAAAAGGGGATCACGTGACCCCTCCCCCACAGGAGACTGAAACCGTCATAAGTATGAATCGGTTGCCAAGCATCTGAATTTTGATCACGTGACCACGGGGATGCTGCATGGAGTGGTGGGGTGGCCTAGAGGTAGAGCTCTCGCCTCACAATCAGGAGGCTGTGAGTTCGATCCTAGGTAGAGGCAGATATTTCTCTCTCTGGGCACGATGAGAATATATCTGCTGGACAAAACTCCGCATTGGCGACAGGAAAGGCATCCGGCCATTCAAACACTTTGCTAGCTCCATTCAGTTGCCCAGAATCTACCCGCAAGGGATTATGGGGTCATTAAAAGATGATGATGATGACCATAGGGACGCTGCAACGGTCATAAGTATGAAAAATGGTCATAAGTCAGTTTTTTCGAGGCCATTATTACTTCGAACGGTCACTAAATAAACTGTTGTAAGTCGAGGACTAGCTGTATTGCAGCTGGTGAAAGTGGTTGCCATCAGCCAGTATTTTATGGTATTATTTCCCTGGACGAATGGCGGATGATCTAAAACTTGATGGCTTCATTTTTTTCACTTTCTGAAATCTCTTTTCAATCTGGCTGGCCTTTTTACAGGGATGGACTTTGTGTTTAAAAACGAAACCAAAAAACCCCCATAAAATCTCACATCAAAAATACTGGCCTCTCTTTCTCTCTTTCTCCTTTCCCTTGACCAACTATATCAGTGCTTCTTACACCTTCACAACTTTAAGATGGGTGGACTTCAACTCCCAGAATTCTATGCTAGCTGGGGAATTCTGGGAGTTGAAGTCCACCCATCTTAAAGTTGGTTGAGAAACACTGCTCTATATTTAATTAGTATGGGCCAAATTTATTTAATATGTTTTTAAATTGTTTTTTTAAAATTTTATATTGTATCTGTTTTATCTTTGGCTGTTCGCCGCCCTGAGTCCTTCAGGAGTAGGGCGGTATATAAATCTAAATAAACTGAAACTGAAACTGAAACTAAACCACTGAACAGAAGGATGCCATTCCTTGCAAGAGTTTATTTAGGTTTATAGCCCATGTCTTTGTTCTGACTTAGGCTTTCTGAGATAGTAAAAAGCACGCGATTAGTCCCAAAAACCCTCTTTTTATTTCAACGGCTGAGAATTCTGTTCATTCACAGCCCGTCATGAGTCACAAAGAGTTGGTAAAGAGTCCGACAGAAGTCTGCCACAGTCCTTCGGGAGAAGACTGATAAGCACCCACCTTTATCTCCCTTGACACGCTGCCAAAGACCTAATTGGCACTTAGCTTTGCAAGGCCACACGAAGCACAGAGTCAAACGGAGCTTCAGAATTTAAACCGGCCAGAACGAACAAAGTTGCTTCCTACAAAGGCTCATGTCCCTTTGCTCCTCCTTTATGTCTTATGAAAGGGGCCAATCATCTCCAAGCCTTACTCCCGAGTCGTCTCTTTTGTCTTAACTGTTCTTGCTTTCTGGCAGCTCTGCGCATGCACGCACTGGGAACAGGCTCCCGCTGTTCCTCTGCCTCGCTGACGTCAGACTCTGGAGGCTCCGGAGGCAGCACATAACTCCCAGATGGCCCTGGCCCCCTCTCTGCCTCCGACGCAGAGCCTTCCCCAGACTCCAGGACTGGCCCATGTTCCTCCCCAGCCTCCTCACTGTCCGACTCTGCTGGCAGACCACAACAGTCTATTGCAGAATAAAAATGAGTTAGGCGGGATTCTCCTTGCAGCTTGTCAAAAACGAACCTTTACAGTTGTTACGTCTATCAAACTAAAAAGCTACCGTCTTTCTTTTCGGCTTCCTAAATGCGTCTGTTTGTAGACAAGCAAAAAAAAACACACACCAAAAAACCCCACTTCCACTTGAAAAGGTCTCTGTGGGCGCCCTTTGCCAGTGATGTAGAATAATTTAATGCTGTTTATTGTTTCAGCCTCTGTTCTGCGATCCAGTCGGAAGGGCCATCTGCGTTTATATAATTTTTTTTTTTAAAGCTAAGTAAGCGGCTTCTGCATTAGCCAACATGCGGTCGTGTACGCTTAATGGAGTTACGTGCTAATTATTGTTGAGCGTTTTCTGGGAAAATAAACCCGACCGAAGGTCTTTGCTATGAAACAAAAATTATTCACTTGAGGGTGGAGGTTCATCCTTTGAGTTTGTGGATTGGTTTTTGAACGTTTCGTTACCAGGCCGGGTAATGTTTTCCAGCGGAGTTTAGGGGATGTCAGTTTCGGTGTACTTCTGTCTATAAGGACGTCTTTATAAACTCCTTTTCGCCAAGGGACGCGGTGGCTCAGTACCTAAGACGCTGAGTTTGTCGATCAGAAGGTCGGCACTTCAGCGGTTCGAATCCCAAGTGCCGCGTAACGGGGTGAGCTCCCGTGACTTGTCCCAGCTTCTGCCAACCTAGCAGTTCGAAAGCAGGTAAAAAAGGCAAGTAGGAAAATAGGGACCACCTTTGGTGGGAAGGTAACAGCGTTCCATGCGCCTTTGGCGTTGAGTCATGCCAGTCACATGACCACGGAGACGTCTTCAGACAGCACTGGCTCTTTGGCTTTGAAACAGAGATGAGCATCGCCCCCTAGAGTCGGGAACGGCTAGCACATATGTGCAAAGGGAACCTTTACCTAATGAAACATTCGGAAACCAATCCAAGGTTTGGAGAATGAAAGTTCACCCTCATCCTGCAAATATTTTGTCACTATTGCAATATTCGCTTGATTGATGGAGTTTCTCCTGATGTGCAGAGGGGGAAGTAGTCAGTACAGGTAGTCCTCGACTTACGACGGGTTCAATGATGGTCATGAGGCGAGGACCACCTGTATTCCGATGGAGTTCACCTTTACCTTAAGACAGATTCAAGTACAGATTAACAGAGTTGGAAGGGACCTTGTAGGTCATCTAGTCCAATCCCCAACCCAAGCAGGAGACCCTACACCATCTCTGACAGAGGGCAGTCCAGTCTCTTCTTGAAAGCCTCCAGTGATGAAGCTCCCACAACTTCTGAAGGCGACTTCTGTTCCATGGGTTGATGGTTCTCAGTGTCAAAAAATTTCTCCTTATTTCCAGGTTGAATCTCTCCTTGGTCAGTTTCCATCCATTATTCCTTGTCTGGTCTTTGGGTGCTCTGGAAAATAGCTTGACCCCCTTCCTCTCTGTGGCAGCCCCTCAAATATTGGAAGACTGCTCTTATGTCTCCCCTGGTCCTTCTCTTCACTAGAATAGCCATGCTTAGTTCCTGCAACCGTTCATCGTATGTTTTAGTCTCCAGTCCCCTAATCATCCTTGTTGCTCTCCTCTGTACTCTTTCTAGAGTCTCCACATCTTTTTTATAGTGTGGTGACCAAAACTGAATGCAGTATTCTAGGTGTGGTCTTACTAAGGCTTTATAGGGTGGTTTTAGTACCTCACTTGATCTTGATTGTATCCTTCTGTTAATGCAATATTTACTAGTAAAATATTAGTAGTTTCATTAGTAGTCTGTTTACAAAGGTTTCTTTCTTTCTTTCTTTCTTTCTTTCTTTCTTTCTTTCTTTCTTTCTTTCTTTCTTTCTTTCTTTCTTTCTTATCAGTGCCTGATGATCTGTCTGCAGAGGAGAAAGAGGAACTGCTAAACATCCGCCGTAGAAAGAAAGAACTCATCGATGATATTGAGGTAATCCATTTCCTTTCCTAATCAACTTTCTTGTCTCCTGGGTAAGTCCTCGACTTACGACCGCAATTGGGGCCAGAATTTCCACCGCTAAACCAGGGAGGTTGTTAAGTGAGTCATTGCTTAGTTATAATGACCTTTTTGGCCACAGTTGTTTAAGTGAATCCCTGCCCGGGATTCTGCAGGGATTCTGCCATAGTTGTAAGTACGAAAACCAGTTGCAGGTCATTTTTTTCCAGTTCCGTCGTAATTTCGAACGGTCCCTAAATGGATAGATGGAAGTTGATGACACCCTGTATATGGCGTTTAAGTTGTTCTGCAGTTTTTCAACTCAAGAAGTTGTGTTTTTTTTTAAATAATTGCTACTAAGGGAAGGTAATTCAGGCTGCCACGTCATATGAATAAAATGACAGAGCAGGTATTTTAAGATTTATGACGCGTCTGAATTCCTTTTTTTTTTCTTTTTCTTTTTCTTTTGGATCCCTGCAGAAGAAAGTGTCATATTAGAATGTGTTGAGATGGATAGATTAACACTTGAAAAGAAAAGGAAGAAACAGAATACTTTTTAACATGGGACCTATTTTACCAAACGAATAGAAACAGAGGTTAGAAACTAAAAAGACTGAAAAGATAATTAATTATATATATTGAAATTTTTTTAAGATGGATGAACTAATCATACTATTACTGTGTGAGTAATATTGATATGTATATTATGATCATTGTTGTATCTCTATTCAAAACTAACTGTCCCCAGACAACACGTTGTTCAGATAGTTAATGGAGTGCTTGGTATGTGTATTAAAAAATATATTAATAAAACATATATTTTAAAAAAATTCCTTTAAAAAAAAAAATGAACAAATTTGCTATCCCACAGATGCACTTTCTGGGAAAACTCCTTTAATTTCATTATTTTAATTCGATCGCTTCGATTTAGGCCCTGCCCCACTCCTGAATGACTCTGCAAGGCTCACAATAGGGCATCTAACCGGGGGCGGGGGCTGCTGGGGGTTCGCAGGGGTTCGGGAGAACCTCTAGCTAAGATTCTGTGCAGTTCGGAGAACCCCCAAATTCCACTCCCAGAACCCCCACTACGTCCGTCCCTGGAGTCCCCACGCGGCCCGCTTTGGATGCAGGTAAGTGCAGGGCGCGTGCAGAGGCTCAGGGATGCCGAAAAATGGGCCTACCGGAAGTTCGGGAAGGCCGGAAATGGGCCATTTCCAGCCTCCAGAGGGCCTCCGGAGCCTGGGGAGGGTGTTTTCGCCCTCCCGGAGGCTCGAGAAAAGCCTCCAGAGCCCGGGGAGGGCAAAAACGCCCCCCTGCCATGATGCAGGAGGCTGACTAGGCCATGCCCACCATGGCCATGCCCACCCAGCAATCCTAACCCTAACCCAGACCCCTTGCTAAAATTTTTGAAGCCCCCCCTGCATCTAACATAAAATGCAACACAATTTCCCCCCCCCCCCAAAATAATAAACCAATAAAAACAAAAAGGGTTAGATTTACAATAACAAAACAAGACACGGCCACCGACACCAAAACGACACAACCACAACACACTCGCAAGGGTAAACTCTGACCTGTGTTCTTTCTGCAGCGGTTAAAATTTGAGATTGCCGAAGTTATGACGGAGATCGATCACCTGACCAGCGTCGAGGAAAGGTGAGTTGGCTCAGCTTGCAGGGTTTTTCACGGGAAATATACTTAGTATTTCTGAGATATCGGTTGCATTTCCTTGTCCGCTTCACCGGAATGTGATCCGATGGGGCTCAAATCGGCAACCAAGGGAGGAGAAGGAGCCTCCGGGACGGCGAAAACCGCCTCCCCAGGCTCTGGAGGCCCTTTGGAGGCTGGAAATGGGCCATTTCTGGCCTTCCCGAGTGGGTGGGAGAAAAAGCTTTAATTTGTAGGCTAGAAGAAAGTGGGAAGGGGTGATTTTTCTCCTGGTTGGAAAGGAGGCTTTGTCGGGTGCTTGCATTAAAACAGCAAGAAGTGAGTGGGGATGCCCTGATGGCCTTTTCTTAAGTCCTTAGAGCAGTATTTCTAGACCTCAGCAAGTTTTAAGACGTGAACTTCAACTCCCAGAATTCCCCAGACAACCAACGGTACCAAATTATAAATGTCGGTTGCATTTGAAAATTTGGAAACCACCTCTGTGGGTCCTTGGTGTTCTTTGAGCTTGGTTGCTTTCTTGAAGATGTTTCATGACCCTACTAGGTAACAGCATCAGTACTAGTAGGAAGGAGTGAGGTTTTTTGCTCTCTGTTTTTATACAAGTGGCTCGCCCTGTTATTGTTGGTGGGGGTTTTCTTGTTGGTTCCTTGATTAGGCCGTTGTGTATAGTTTGATGGTTTGTCTGAGTTGGTAGGACCTTGATTGTCCCGCCAACACTGGCAGGGGAGCCACTAGTATATAAACATAGAGCAAATCCCACTCCCTCCTAGCACTGATGGTGTTACTTAATTGGGTAATGAAATGTCTGCAAGAAAAAAAAATCAAGCTTAGAGAACCCCTCCTCATCCTCGTCCTCCTCCTCGTCCTCTTCCCCTTCTCCTCTTCCTCCTCCTCCTCCTCTCTGCAAACATCTCCCTTCTAGCACTGATGATGTTATCTAGTTTGGTAATGAAACGTTTACAAGAAAGCTCCCAGGACCCCACATTTGGCTGGCTTGAGCTAAATTTTAAATTGGTTTTAAATTGGGTTGTTTTAATTTACGGCCAGAATATCTAATTATTTTAATACTGTTTTTTAAATTTTGTATGCTTTGTTTTTACTTAGGCTGTGCACCGCCCTGAGTCCTATTTGGAGAAGGGCGGTATAGAAATTTAAACAAACAAACAAACAAATTTCAATCCCGAGCTACAAATATTCCTTTCCACAGAAAGCATTTGCTAAGCAGAAACTTTGCTGCAGTCCATCAATGTAGACTTTCGCATCAGTTCTTCATATTTATTCAATTTATTGTGTGATCGTTTTTTTTCCCTTAGCTCCAAGATACATGCCTTTCTGTATCCAGAGCAGGGATAAATTTTAAAGGGTTTTATTATATCCTAACCCACTACTTGGATCTTAGCAAACAAATTTTTGTTGTCTTTGGGGGGGGGGGAAATAAAAGAGACAACCCATTTCACCCCTTATTCAGAGTGTGTTGTTTTTAGTGTATCTGGAGTGGCTGAAATGCCTTCAAGATGTGATGGTCTCGGCATCAACTTTTTGTAGGTCGAGCTCAGGAGTGAAATGCTCCCGGTTCGGACCGGATCGGACAATCCGGTAGCAATTGCGGCAGGTAGTTTGAAGAACCGGTAGCAATGGCGGAGTGAGGCTCCGCCCACCCACCCAAGTGTTGTTACTTCCTGCTTTTAAAAGGTTTAAAAAAAGGCTCTGACGATCGCGCGTCACAGCTGTAATCATTTTACTTTTTTTTACCTTTTAAAAGCATTTTTTAACAACCTTTCACCCAAATAGGTTGTAAAAAATGCTTTAAAATAATAATAATAATAATAATAATAATAATAATAATAATAATAATAATAATAAGTTGGCCACGCCCACCCAGTCACATTACCTCACCACCACCACCAAGCCACGCCCACAGAACCGGTAGTAACAAATTTTACATTTCACCACCGGTTGAGCTGGTTAAAAGCCTTGCATCCTGCCCCTGGCACGATGCCCGCAATTCTCACAGCGTTTTTGGCACAACCTCTTTGGTTATGCGTTGATTTTCGTAATATCAATGCAGTTTGCATACAAAACACCTACCCCCTACCACTAATGAAAGACTTGCCGGACCACTTGTCGAAAGGCAAGATTTTCACCAAGTTAGATCTAAGGGAAGCCTACTACTGTTGTGGCCCGTCAGCGGCCTGTGCAGCTAGTAGCTGATTCCGACAGCGAGGAAGCTGGAGCTTTATCAAGCCTCTGCAATCGTTTTTGTTGTGGGATTGTGCTAGCAAAGCAGACATCCCAAACGCTTATTGGCATCCAGACGCTTGGTATATTATTCCATCCGTTCCCTTGACTGAATCCCGTTGAACTGGTTTGTGGGTTCAAACCTTATAATTCCTGGCTCCAGAATATTAAAATGTCATTTATGATTCCTTTGCCATGAAGCCAAAGCTACTTTTGATTTTTCTCTTGAGTTAAAACACAATTTTAAGCCATGAGAAGGGGTATTCAGCTAGGATGTAGGCACTTTGTGGGCTCCATTGGATGCTAAAGGTAAAGGTTCCCCTTGCACATATGTGCTAGTTGTTCCTGACTCTAGGGGGCGGTGCTCATCTCTGTTTCAAAGCCAAAGAGCCAGCGTTGGCCAAAGACGTCTCCGTGGTCAGGTGGCCGGCATGACTCAATGCCAAAGGCGCACGGAACGCTGTTACCTTCCCACCAAAGATGGTCCCTATTTTTCTATTTGCCTTTTTTACCTGCTTTCGAACTCCTAGGTTGGCAGAAGCTGGGACAAGTCACGGGAGCTCACCCTGTTATGCGGCACTCGGGATTTGAACTGCTGAAGTGCCAACCTTCTGATCGACAAACTCAGTGTCTTAGCCACTGAGCCACCATGTCCCTTAGAGAAAATGAATTTATAGGGAAGTCCTTATAAACAGAAGTATACTGAGACTGACATCCCCTAAACGCTGCCCACCTTCCGATCAACAAGCTCAGCGTCTTAGCCACTGAGCCACCGCGTCCCTCATTGGATGCTAGGATATTGTAAATAATGCCTTCAGTTTAATTGTGCAAATACTTTTTTTCTTCTAATGCTTTCCTTTTTCATCTCTCTTCCCTCCAAACTGACAGCAAAGCTACCCAAAGGAATAAGCAGGTTGCAATGGGAAGGAAAAAATTTAACATGGATCCCAAGAAGGTGAGGCTTTTTAAAAAAATTTTTTTTGAGAATGTGTACTTTGAGCCGAGTTGTTTCATGTGGCCCAAACCACATGAACAAACTGGTTTGTTTAACCGCAGTTTGTTCAATCAACTATAGTTAGAGGAGTTCACTGCATACTTTAAGCCAGGAGTGAATAACCTTGGCAGTTTTAAGACTTGTGGACTTCAACTCCCAGAATTCCCAGCTGCAACAGCAGACGCCATCTTGTTTAATTAACCCATCTCCGCTGAACTCCATCATACCACCTTGTTGGAAAAGTCCAATAAATGGAGCTCGGCATAAATGGTGCTCTCTGGGGCTGTTCTGCAAACCTACCTTTCTTATTACATTTCAGTCTTTAGTTTGTTCTCCCATTTTTCTTTATTAGATCTCAAAGAGACAGTTTAGCGAACGCACGTTCTTTTTGTCTGATTCGCCTCCCTCCATCTTCAGAGCTAAATACATCTGGAGCCTTGTCTTCCCCCTAAGGGGTTAGCTTGATTTTGTTTCCGATGACGTTAATTTCATTTTCTTGAGATATCTGGATTTCCAGAAGACAGGGCCCGTTACAAGAAAGGGATATCTGAAGCATGGAGCTGAAAGAAAAATAAAGAGAGAGAGAGAGAAAGTGAGAGAAAGATAGAAAGTGAGAGAGAGAAATAAAGAAAGTGAGAGAGAGAGAAGAAAGAGAAAAAAGAGAGAAATACTGAAAGAGAAAGAACTAATGAAAAAGAGAAACACTGAAAGAGAAAGAACTAAAGAAATAGAAAGAAAGAAAGAAAGAAAGAGAGAGAAAGAGAAACACTGAAAGAGAAATAAGTAAAGAGAGAGAAAGAGAGAGAAGAGAAACACTGAAAGAGAAAGAAAGAGAAGAGAGAGAGAGAGAAACACTGAAAGAGAAAGAAGTAAAGAAAGAGAAAGAAAAAGAAAAAGAGAGAAAGAGAAACACTGAAAGAAAGAAGTAAAGAAAGAGAAAGAAAGAAAGAGAAACACTGAAAGAGAAAGAAGTAAAGAAAGAGAAAGAAAGAAAGAGAAACACTGAAAGAGAAAGAAGTAAAGAAATAGAAAGTAAGAGAAAGAAAGAAACACTGAAAGAGAAAGAAGTAAAGAAAGAGAAAGAGAAAGAAAGAGGAACAGAAAGAGAAAGAAAGAAAGAAAGAAAAAGAGAAACATTGAAAGAGAAAGAAGTAAAGAAAGAGAAAGAGAAAGAGAAACACTGAAAGAGAAAGAAGTAAAGAAATAGAAAGAGAGAAATAGAAAGAAAGAAAGAGAGAAAGAGAAAGAGAAAGAGAGGGGGGAAGAGGAAGAGAGAGAGAGAAAGAGAAAGAAAAGAGACCCCTTGAACAGCTTTTGAATTGCCACAAATTTCCTTTCTGACGGTGGTTTTGTGGAAGGAAAATATTCTTTTTTGGTAACCAAATACTGCCTCCAGATGGAAATCTGATTTTTGTGTGTGTTTTGACTAGATATTTATTTAGTGCAAGCTGCACTGGCTCCCGGTGGTCTTCCGGGTGCGCTTCAAGGTGCTGGTTACCACCTTTAAAGCGCTCCATGGTTTAGGACCTGGTTACTTACGGGACCGCCTACTACCATCAACAGCCTCCCACCGACCAGTACGCTCCCACAGAGAGGGGCTCCTCCAGGTGCCGTCGGCCAAACAATGTCGGCTGTCGGCCCCTAGGGGGAGAGCCTTCTCTGTGGGGGCCCCGACGATCTGGAATGAGCTCCCCCCAGAGATACGGAGGATTCCGGATCTGCAGAGAAAGAGAAACACTGAAAGAGAAAGAAGTAAAGAAATAGAAAGAGAGAAATAGAAAGAGAAAGAAAGAAAGAAAGAGAGAAAGAGAAAGAGAGGGGGGAAGAGGGAGAGAGAGAGAGAAAGAGAAAGAAAAGAGACCCCTTGAACAGCTTTTGAATTGCCACAAATTTCCTTTCTCACGGTGGTTTTGTGGAAGGAAACATAATTCTTTTTGGTAACCAAATACTGCCTCCAGATGGAAATCTGATTTTTGTGTATGTTTCGACTAGATATTTATTTAGGGAAGCTTTTACAACACAGGCAAAAGTTCTTGACTTAACGACCACAACCGGGGCCAGAATTCCTGCTGCCAAGCAAGGCGATTGTCAAGCGAATTGTGCCCAATTTTTACAACCTTTCCCCCCCACCCCCCCGATTGTTAAGCGAATCAATGCTGTTGTTAAGCGAATCATATGGTCATTAAGCGAACCTGGCTTCCCCCGTCGACTCTATTTGTCGGGAAGATGGCAAATGGCGATCCAATGATCCTAGGGGTGTTGCAACCATCATAAATAGATGCTGGTTGACAAGCTCTCAATCGCGAGAATGCTGTCATGGGCGTGAAGGCGAGGACTTGTCATAAGTGACGTTTTCCCCGTGCTGCTATAATCGTGATGGCGAACCTATGGCACGCGTGCCACAGGTGGCACGCGGAGCCATATTGGTGGGCACACGAGCGTTGTGCTAGCTGAGCTCCAGTGCGCATGCGCGCACCAGCCAGCTGATTTTGGGGCCTTCCGGTCCCACCGGAAGTCAGGAAACGGGCTGCTTGCGGCCTCCAGAGGGCCTCCAGTGGGGTGGGGAAGGCTGTTTTCGCCCTCCCCAGGTTCCTAGAAAGCCTCTGGAGCCTGGGGAGGGCGAAAAATGGGCCTACTGGGCTCACCGTGCTATTGCGTGCCAAAAGCGGGAGGGGGGAGGTCGTGCGTGCATGCGTTGGGGACGGGGTGTCGAGTCCTGCCAGAGCTCGCCATCGATGGGGTGTGTGGGAGACGAAGGAGTGGAGATAAGCAGCCGCAGAGAACACACAAACAGTTCCTGGATAGCAGCATTCAGGGCAATGATTGATGACGTTGCTGGGCCTCTCCGATTCTGCTGTCCTTGCTGCTCGCAGCTGTTACTGTTAAGGGAGTGGGGGGTGCTTGATTGATAATCACCGGATGTATGTTTAAGGGGCTGAGTTTTTGTTAAATAGCGCTGTGGTGTGATTACACCCAGCGCTGACTTTGAACCAAAACACCGACTTGTACTTTACTTTTGACTGCAAGCTTATCATTGCCAAAGTAAACCCTGATTCTCTGTGTGTTACTGGTGATTATTTCCTATCGCAGTTCTGAACGAACGACAAGCCGAGAGAAAGGCAGCGCTTGGTTCTTTTTCGCAAGAGGTGAGGAGTCCCTGTGGCTTTGCAGCAAAGGGGGATATGGCAGAAGGGACGGCCTTGGAAGAGCAGGAGTGTGGTGGAGATGTGGAGGGGGAGGAACCACTGATAGAGGAGGTGAAGGAGAGTGTGGAACAGTTGGCAGTGAAACCAAAAGTCAAGCAACCCAAGAGCGCCCCGCCCCGACCGGAGGAGGAGAGTTTTCCAGGACAACGGGCTCGGACGGGGGATTGGTGGCACAGCTCTGTTCTCCTCGGGCCACGGCATGGGCGATCTGGGAAAAAGAGGCATTCGCCTCTTTTACAGAAGTAGATGGTCACTTACGTACCGAGTTTAAAACAGCTTTACAACAGGATCGATGGGTAATCCAAAACCCCTCTATGGTTAGCTATAATGATGGAATAGCGTGGAGGGAGAATAGAATATATGTTCCAGAACGTTTACGGAACGTAGTGTTATGCAGGTGCCATGATGCCAAATCAGCAGGCCATTTTGGGTATTTAAAAACTCTACACCTTGTGAGGAGGCAGTTCTGGTGGCCACGAATGCGTAAGGACATAGAAACATACGTAAAAGGTTGTACAACCTGTGCAACCGCCAACCCCTGGTCTGGACGACCGTTAGGACTATTACAGACAGTCGCGAATCCTAGCAGGCCTTGGGAAGAGATAGCTATGGATTTCATAGTCGATCTCCCCCCTAGCCATGGCCACACTGTAATTTGGACGGTGGTAGATCTGTTTTCGAAACAGGCCCACTTTGTGCCATGTAAAAGCATACCATCCGCGCGACAATTAACCGAACTCTTTTTGCAACATATCTATCGTCTCCATGGAGCACCTAAGAGGATTATATCCGACCGCGGTGTTCAATTCACCTCTAAGTTTTGGAGACGATTTGTCCGTTTAATTGGGTCCTCTCAAGGGTTAAGTTCAGCATTCCACCCGAGCACTAACGGGGCGGCTGAACGGGCCAATGCCATGGTCGAAAGATATATCAGATGCTACGTTTCATACCAGCAGACGAATTGGTCAGGACTCCTGCCTTTCGCCGAAGTGGCATATAACAACATACCCCACCGCAGTACTGGGTTCTCCCCTTTCCAAGTAATATATGGCCGAGAGTTTTCAGCCATTCCAGAGTTAGATCCCCCTATGACAGACGGTGACACGCCACGCAGTTGGGCCGATAAAATTAGTAATGTATGGCCAAGTGTAAAAACTGGTGATTATTTCCTATCGCAGTTCTGAACGAACGACAAGCCGAGACGGGGTGGGGCACATTGAATTATGGATTTGAGCGATTGCTAAACGAATGGTTTGAAGTGGAGGATGACCAGGTTTTCTGCACACACACAATCACACAGACAGACAGAAAAAAGGGAGTGTAAAACAGCAATGGTTTTTCAAGACTAAAAATAGTTTCCAAGCTTGATTTAAAAAAAAAAAAAATCTTTTGGGCTTACCCCGATAATAAAATAATTCAGTGCATTTTCCTCCTTCGGGAACAGGAAGGGCATTTTTTTTTTTCTTTTGGCACCAAATGCTGCGGCTGCCTTCTGTTTTTCTTCGGTCCAAAAATGCGTTTGTTTTTCCTTACTTCTCCTCCATCCTAAACCTGCTTTGAACTTTCCGCTTGTTTGTTTGGGAAAACGAACCCGGTTATTTCCACGCCAGCCAGTTTGTGGTTCCAGCTGTCTCAAGAAGGGAAAAAAAAAGAGCAATAAATCTCGTCCAGGAATTGCTCCGATTAAATCCCGGGTTTTAAAAAAATGTAGTTAAAAGGCCATTTTCTAAAAGTAGAGTTTGCACACAACGAGCTTCGAGTCAAAAGCAAGCAAACAGCCTGTTGGTTTAACGTTGTTGGTCGCAGTTAATCGTTCGATTAACCATTGTGAAAATAAGCCACGGATTAGCATGGTTTTTAGCAATGAGGCAGCCAAAGGCGGTGGACAAGTTCTCCTTGTTCAATAAGCCATGGTTAACGCAAGCCATAAGTTAGTGTAGGATTTAGCAGTGTATAAGCCCAACCATGAAGTGGCCAAGAGTTAGGGTAGATGAGTTTCCTTGCTCAATAAACCATGGTTAAAAGCAAGCCATGAGTTAGAATGCTATTTAGCAATGTGTTGACCCAAGCATGGGTAGCTTTGGGTGGATGAGTTTCCTTGCTCAATAAACCATGGTTAAAAGCAAACCATGAGAGTGCTATTTAGCAATGTGTTGACCCAACCTTGGGTAGCTTTGGGTGGATGAGTTTCCTTGCTCAATAAACTATGGTTAAAAGCAAGCCATGAGTTAGAATGCTATTTAGCAATGTGTTGACCCAACCATGGGGTAGCTTTGGGTGGATGAGTTTCCTTGCTCAATAAACCATGGTTAAAAGTAAGCCATGGGTTAGTGCGGTATTTAGTAATGTGTAGACCCAACCATGAGGTAGTTCTGGGTAGATGAGTTTCCTTGCTCAATAAACTATGGTTAAAAGCAAGCCATGAGTTAGAATGCTATTTAGCAATGTGTTGACCCAACCATGAGGTAGCTCTGGATAGATGAGTTTTTTTGCTCAATAAACCATGGTTAAAAGTAAGCCATGATTAGTGTGGTATTTAGTAATGTGTAGACCCAACCATGAGGTAGCTCTGGGTAGATGTATTTCCTTGCTCAATAAACCATGGTTAAAAGCAAGCCATGGTTAGTGTGGTATTTAGTAATGTGTAAACCCAACCATGAGGTAGCTCTGGGTAGATGTATTTCCTTGCTCAATAAACCATGGTTAAAAGCAAGCCATGGTTAGTGTGGTATTTAGCAACGTGTAGACCCAACCATGAGGTAGCTTTGGGTAGATGAGTTTTGGTTGTAAGTGGAGGACTACCTTTATTCCGTATTTCTGGAATGTGAATTTCGATAAACAGCAACAAAGCCTGAATTCTCATCTTCCTTTTATTCTTTTCCCCCCTCCTGCTGCTTTAGGGAATTCAGTTTCTCATTGAAAATGATCTCCTGCAGAACACGCCGGAAGACATCGCTCAGTTCCTGTATAAAGGGGAGGGGCTTAATAAAACCGTTATTGGCGATTATCTCGGTGAAAGGTAGGTGGAGGCCAGTCCTGGTTGTACGTCGCCTCGAGATGAAAATGGAGACTTGGACTTAGAACCTCAAGTTTCCTTGGCTTTTATAGGCAGTCCTCAACTTGCAACATTTTGTTTAGGGACCGTTCGAGGTTCCAACGGGAGTGGGAAAAGTGACTTACGGCCGTTTTTCACACTTATGACTGTGGTTGCATTTCCACGGTCAGCGTTCAGATGCTTGAAAGCTGATTCATACTTATGACTGTCGCAGTGTCCCAGGCAAGAGTGGGTTCTACTTACCTTTACTACTGGTCCGCAATGGGAGCGAAGCTTCTGCGCATGTGCAGATCGTCATAAGTAAATATCTACATACCAAAAATATATTTAAAAGGCTCGGCTGTGTTTGCTTGCATTGCTGACGGGTTAAAATTCTACAGGGCATTTATATAATTGGGATTCAGGAGGTGCGGAATTCAAACCAGGATAATTTCATATTAATGATATGCCTTGGTTTCAATCTGTTGAGGCAGCTGTATTATTTTATTTTTCTTTTCCTCTCCTCCCTTCCTTTCACCCACTCAACAAACAGGTGATTTACTTCCCGGTTTACCAAGAAGGAAGTCGTACTTGACCAAAAAAATATCCGGAGAAAAACTTAGAATTCGATAATAAGGAGGTTGTCAGGGTTCCAACGGATGCCCTAATTAAATCATGAGCCTCGAGCCAAGCTTCAAAAGAAATCCAGTTATTTATTAGGAGCTCCATGTCGGCACGTACTCAAATGAAGCCAACTCTGACCCTACGTAATTTACGGCCCTAATCATGACCCTGTTTTCCCCCTCCCCCCCCAGGGTGTCTCATCAATCACATTCCCCAACGCAGCAATTTCAGGGGTTGTAGAGATCACTCCCCTCCGGCTGCTGTGGGTAACCCTGGGATACAACCTTGAAAAAGATATGTCTGGAATGTGCTCCGGTCTTTAGCTGCCTGTTGCTTTTTTGTTTCCATCTCCCCCTTGCTTATGGCAACTCGAGAGTAGGCCAGGGATGCTTTGCGAGTTGACAGAAGCCTTGAAGAAAGATCTTGAGATGCTAGTGACATAGTGAAGGTCTAGAGATCTCTCTCCAAAAGGACAATCCTGGAGCCTCTTTGCTAAATTGCGTTATTGCTGTTGTTGGTATGATTGTGTCAAAGTTAAACAACAACAACCACCCACCTTTGAATCCACCGCGTTCATTTCCTCTTGGCAAAGACTGCCTAGTAATTTACACAACCATCGGCTTGTCTCCGATTTAATGAATGGGTTGTTCGACATATTAATTAAAATTCTTGGAAAGGTTTGACGGGCTCCCTTCGGAAAACCCGCCTGTTAAAAAAAAATCCACCTACCCTGCCTTAGGTGGAAGCGGATCCACAACATTTTAATCTACTTGTACGCCTCTCAAACACACCCTGTTGAATTGCAGGGCTTTGTATTGGCCATGATTAAATGATGATGAATCGTTGTCTTAATGGAGTTCTTCTCACCCGCACTGAAAGGAAGGGGACGGGTGCTCAGTTGTTCCTGTTTCATGGTTGTTTGGTTGTCATCCGGCATCTATGTCTCTGAGCTGTTCCTGGTGCTCTCTGAGCTTGGCTGATTTCTTGCAGATGTTTCATACCAAGCCAGGTAACCTCATCAGTGCACCGAGGATGTTATCTAATTTGGTAATGAAATAAATGTCTGCAAGAAAATAGCCAAACTCAGAGAGCACCAAAGACCACAAAGTTGTCGTAGTTTTCCTTCTCCTCCTCTTCTTCCTCTTCTCTTCCTCCTCCTCTCTTCCTTCTCTCCTCCTCCTCCTATCTTCTTCTCTTCCTTTTCTCTCCTTTCTTCCTTCTCTCCTCCTCCTCCTATCTTCTTCTCTTCCTCCTCCTTCTTTCTTCCTTCTTCCTTCTCTCTCCTCCTCCTCCTATCTTCTTCTCTTCCTCCTTTCTTTCTTCTCTCTCCTCCTCCTCCTCCTTTCTTCCTCGTCCTCCTTTCTTCCTTCTTCCTTCTCCTCCTTTCTTTCTTCTTCCTTCTCTCTCCTCCTCCTCCTATCTTCTTCTCTTTCTCCTTTCTTCCTTCTTCCTTCTCTCTCCTCCTCCTAACTTCTTCTCTTCCTCCTCCTCCTTTCTACTTCTTTCCCTCCTCCTTGTCCTCCTTGCCCTCCTCCTCTTCCTGCTCCTCCTCCCTGCAAACCCCACTCCTTTCTAGCACTGATAATGTTACCTAGTTGGGTATTGAAATGTCTCATTACCCAATTTGGAGAGCATCAAGAACCATAGAGTCCTCCTCCTCTTCTTCCTCTTCCTTCCTTCTCTTTCTCTCTCCTCCTCCTGCTGCTGCTGTTCTCTCCTCTTCCTCCTTTCTACTTCTTCCCCTCTTCCTCCTCCTCCTCCTCCTCCCTACAAATCTCACACCAAGTTCAAAGAGCATCAATGACCATACCAGCAGTGGGTTTCAAAATTTTTTACGTTCTGTGGGTGTGGCTTGATGGGTGTGGCTTGGTGGGCGTGGCAGGGGAAGGATACTGCAAAATCTCCATTCCCTCCCCAATCCAGGGGAAGGTTGCTGCAAAATCCCCCTTTCCTCCTGATCAGCTGGGACTCGGGAGGCAGAGAATAGATGGGGGCGGGGTCAGTCAGAATTTTTACTACCGGTTCTCCGAACTACTCAAAATTTCCGCTACCGGTTCTCCGGAACTGGTCAGAACCTGCCGAAATCCACCTCTGGACCATATGCATTTTTCCAATTAGCTAATAATAAAAAATAATTTCTTAAAATGATTGTTGAAAGTTTCCAGGTTTGGACCAGTGACTACAGCTTGGTAACAGGCCAATTACAACAACAAAACAAAATAAAAATAACCCCTCAACCTCAAAAGCCCAACGCGTGAATATTAAATTAAAAGAGTTACTTATTTCAACTTCTTCATCTTTTCTTTTACAGGGATGACTTTAATATTAAAGTACTTCAGGCTTTTGTTGAACTCCATGAGTTTGTGGATCTCAATCTCGTCCAAGCGTTACGGTAAGAAGTCTTTTTAAGAGCTGTTGGGGGGGGGGAGAGTTAAAAATGCTTGACACTGTAGTAGAAGGGGAAAAGGCTATTTAACAAGGCTTTTCTGGTGTTGTGAAGTTCCCTAGATTTAATTCTATCTTGATCTTAACAGAGACATACAATCAAGGCCAAGGGAGGTACTAATACCACTCTATAAAGCCTTAGTAAGACCACACCTAGAATCCTGCATCCAGTTTTGGTCCCCACACTATAAAAAAGATGTTGAGACTCTAGAAAGAGTGCAGAGAAGAGCAACCAGGATGATTATGGGACTGGAGGCTAAAACATGCGATGAACGGTTGCAGGAACTGGATATGTCTAGTTTAATGAAGAGAAGGACTAGGAGAGACCCGATAGTAGTCTTCCAATATTTGAGGGGCTGCCACAGAGAAAAGGGGGCCAACCTGCTTTCTGAAGGCCAGACAAGGATTAATGGATGGAAACTGACCAAGGAGAGATTCAACCTGGAAATAAGGAGAAATTTTTTGACAGTGAGAACCATCAACTGATGGACCAGAAGTTGCCTTCAGAAGTTGTGGGAGCTTCATCCCTGGAGGCTTTCAAGAAGAGACTGGACTGCCATCTGTCAGAAACGGTGTAGGGTCTCCTGCTTGGGCGGGGGGTTGGACTAGATGACCTCCAAGGTCCCTTCCAACTCTGTTAATCTGTTAAATTTAGCATTGTGCACAGCCGCCTACTCTAAGCCACAAGACAGTTCGTGCAGGAATAGCTGGTGTGTTAGGTGATTTCAGCTAATGTTGATTTCTTAATATAATTCGTAGCTTAACAAATGAGCCTGTATTGCGATCGTCTACAGAGATAATTGTTTAAAATGACAATTTTTTAAAAATTAAGAAATCAAGATGGCAGCACTATCCTTCTGATAGAAGGCCGCTCCCTTTTGGCTGCCATCTTGATTTTTTTTTAAACCAACGATTTGGTCAAGTCTGTCCTGTCCATCCTCAGGATCACATTTACTTCCTGATAGTTGGTCAACTAAGCCACTGTTTCAGGGGTGAAATCCAGCAGGTTCTGACAGGTTCTGGAGAACCAGTAGTGAAAATTTTGAGCCGTTCGGAGAACTGGCAAATACCACCTCTGGCTGGCCCCCGAGTGGGGTGGGAATGGGGATTTTGCAGTATCCTTCCCCTGCCACGCCAACCAAGCCATGCCCACCAAGCCACACCATGCCACGCCCACAGAACCGCTAGTAAAAAAAATTGGATTTCACCACTGCACTCTTTGGCTATGTTTCCACAGGGGACAAACCCTGTTGTGACTTCAAGCAAGGCAGGAACTTATTCATAGAATGTGGGGATGAAGGCACCCCGGATCATACAAATCATGGCTTGTTGAGAAAGATGTCTGGTATAACAGAGTTGGAAGGGACCTTGGAGGTCTTCTAGTCCAACCCCCTGCTTTGGCAGGAAACCCTACACCACTTCAGACAAATGGTTATCCAATCTCTTCTTAAAAACTTCCAGTGTTGGAGCATTCACAACTTCTGGAGGCAAGTTGTTCCACTGGTTAATTGTTCACACTGTCAGGAAATTCCTCCTTAGTTCTAAGTTGCTTCTCTCCTTGATTAGTTTCCACCCGTTGCTTCTTGTCCTGCCCTCAGGTGCTTTGGAGAAAAGCTTGACTCCCTCTTCTTTGGGGCAGCCCCTGAGATATTGGCAGACTGCTCTCATGTCTCCCCTAGTCCTTCTTTTCATTGTCCAGTTCCTGTAACCGTTCTTCATAATCAAGGAGAGAAGCAACTTAGAACTAAGGAGAAACTTCCTGACAGTGAGAACAATTAATCCGTGGAACCACTTGCCTCCAGAAGTTGTGAAAGCTCCAACACTGGAAGTTTTTAAGGAGAGGTTGGATAACCATTTGTCTGAAGTGGTGCAGGGTTTCCTGCCTAAGCAGGGGGTTGGACTAGAAGACCTCCAAGCTCCCTTCCAACTCTGTTATTCTACTCTATACTTTAATCGTATTTTATCATATGAACTTTCTGGATATCTTGGCAGGCAATTCCTGTGGAGTTTTAGGCTGCCGGGGGAAGCTCAAAAAATCGATCGCATGATGGAGGCGTTTGCTTCGCGCTACTGCCTTTGCAACCCTGGGGTCTTCCAGTCTACAGGTGAGTGGGCGTGGCCTTTCCTACCAGCCTTTGTCTTTATCGGTTGGGGACTGCCACATCCTGCAAGCCTCAACCTGTTTGGCGTTGTCATAACTTGGTGGCTGTTGTCATTGGTAACAACTATTGAAGGTTTGCTCGGGAAGGTTTTTGTAAACCTCTTTAGAGTAACTGGGGTTGGAAGGCAGGGAAATTAGCCATGTACAGGTAATCCTCGACTTACTACTGTTCATTTAGTGGACCGTTCAAAATTACGATGGCACCGACGAAAGGGACTTAACGACCATTTTTCACCCTTACGGCCTTGGTAGCCTCCCCATGATCATCACGGGATCAAAATTCAGACGCTTGGCCAACGGGTTCATACTTATGACGGTTGCTGTCTCCCGGGGTCACGTTATCCCTTTTTGTGACCTTCTGACAAACCAATTCCATGGGGAAGCCCGATTCGCTTAACAACCAGGTTACTAAGTTAACCGCTGCAGCGATTCGCTTAACAACGGAGGCAAGAAAAGTCATAAAAATGGGGGCAACGCACACTTAATAACTGTTTAGCTTCGTTGTTGTTGTTAGTGGCGAAGTCATGTCCGACCCATCACGAACCCATGGACAACGTTTCTCCAGGCCTCCCTGTCCTCTACCATCCTCTGGAGTCCATTTAAGCCCACGCCGACTGATTCAGTGACTCCATCCAGCCACCTCGTTCTCTGCCGTCCCCTTCTTCTTTTGCCCTCCATCGTTCCCAGCATTAGGCTCTTCTCCAGGGAGTCCTTCCTTCTCATTAGGTGGCCAAAGGATTTGAGTTTCCTCTTCAGGATCTGATCTTCTAAAGAGCAGTCAGGGTTGATCTCCTCTAGGACTCCTCTTGGATCACCTTGCAGTCCAAGGGACTCATAGGAGTCTTCTCCAGCACCAGAGTTCAAAGGCCTCAGTTCTTTGGCGTTTTAGCTTAGCAACGGAAATTTTGGACTCAATTGTGGTTGTAAACTGAGGATTCTCTATAGTCATTTCATGCGAGCAAAGCTGAAGTTCAGTTTTAAATTCAGATTTCCTTCTTGGCTCGGTGCCTGAGATAGTTGTGTGTGTGTCCCAAGTTCAACACAACACAACCGGCAGGATGTCTTTTCTCTCTGCCGGGGGTCCTTAAGAGAGGAGAATGTATTTGTTTACTTTATTCCTAATTTGCCAGAGGCTGGTTTTTTTACAAGCGGCTGTGGAGGACAATCCTTTTGCTTTGATCTCCCGTTCTCCAGATACCTGCTACGTCCTCTCCTTTGCAATCATCATGTTGAACACCAGTCTGCACAACCACAATGTGAGAGACAAGCCAACAGCGGAGAGGTTTATATCGATGAACAGAGGGATTAACGAGGGAGGAGACCTGCCGGAAGAATTGCTACGGGTAAGGTGCTTTGTAAACGGGATGAACATGTGATGGCGTATTCATGAAGGATGGCCAAGGAATCAGTGAATCAATTCTTGGTATGATGACTGTAGAAACCAACACAACAGCATTCTGACTATGGGATGTTAGATCTCAGTAGAGAATCGGTGCCAACTCTGTTATTCTATGACTCCGTGATGGTATTCCTGCTATTATTAGTTCTATTATTATTGTGATTGTTTGCGCATTCAGGCAGATGTTTAGACAGGGCGTTTTTGCCCACCCATCGAGTCTTTCCCAAGGTCCAAGGATAGGCAGATGTGAATGTATGATGGTGTTCAAGGAATCGTGGCAGGATGTTCAGCTGTTCCGAGTTAAGCTGCCTTTTGCAATTGACTGATGGTGAATTTGTCAATGCCAATGTTGTTCAGACAACGCTCCAGATAATAAATGATTAGTATTACGGCTTGTTGCAAAGTCAGCCAGATGTTTAAACTGGATTTGGCATTTTTTTTGTCCACCTATTGAGACCTTTCCAAGGACCTAGGATAGGCAGCTGTGGATGTTGGATGGTGTTGAAGAGATCGTCGCAGGATGTAAGCTGTTCCGAGTCAAACTGCCTTTTGCAATTGACTGATGGTGAATTTGTCAATGCCACTGATGTTCAAATGGTGCTCCAGTTGTTTTGGGATTTGCACCCAAGATGCTTATCCTTATTGATGTTATCTTTGCTTTCTTCAACCACAGTTGCTTCTACTTCTTCTTCTTCTTCTCTTCTTCTTCTTCTTCTTCTTTTTCTTCTTCTTCTTCTTTCTTCTTCTTCTTCTTCTTCTTCTTTCTTCTTCTTCTTCTTCTTCTTCTTCTTCTCTTCTTCTTCTTCTTCTTCTTCTTCTTCTTCTTCTTCTTCTCTTCTTCTTCTTCTTCTTCTTCTTCTTCTTCTCCTCCTCCTCCTCCTCTCTCCTCTCCTCCTCCTCCTCTCCTCCTCCTCCTTCTTCTTCTTCTTCCTATTATTTATTTATACCATCAAATCTTCCAAGGTTTCAGAGAAATATACACAAATGCCCTTGGAATTTGATCTTGTAGTATAAACAATACTTCTTCCTGTAATTCTTCAGAGTGGGAAGCCTTCTACTGGAAAGAAAGAATGAGTTTGCTCTTTAAAATCAACACCTCCCCAGGTCATACACCACCTCTAAATTTTGGTTACATGCCAATAAAAACACATTTCCAGATTGTGGACCAAGCTATGTTTCATTTCCAAGTGCTTAACAACTACTGGTTGAAGTTGTCACATGTCCATATTTCTCCAGATTTGATAAAGAGGAAGGTCTGGAAAGAAGATGTTACCAACTGGTTCTCCAAGAAAACATAAGAGTCTTAATTTCTGGACAGGATGTAGGAGAAGAGGTGGCAGAGCTGGGGGAGGTGGAGTTAAGTGTGTCATCAGCCTAGAGTTGTTATGTTCCCAAAAACGGTCCAAATCTAACCCTCTCGAATTCCACTGACCTTTATCTGGTGCCAATTCAGATTTGAACTTGAGTTGACTAGATTGAGTTGACTAGGGTTGAGCAATGAATCTTCCGAATGGCAATTTAGTGTATATCCAGGATCCTTTGCGCCTGACCCAGAATCATAATTGTAATCATAATCATAATCATAAGTTTGTCAAGCATATATAAGATAACAGGTAAAAGTAGAAACATAATTTGAATACATGAAAAGAGTAAGAGTAAAAAGGAATATTAGGACAGGGACGGTAGGCACGCTGGTGCACTTATGCACGCCCCTTATAGACCTCTTAGGAATGGGGTGAGGTCCACAGTAGACAGTTTAAGGTTAAAGTTTTGGGGGTTTGGGATGAAACCACAGAGTCAGGTAGTGCATTCCAGGCATTGACCACTCTGTTGCTGAAGTCATATTTTCTGCAATCGAGTTTGGAGCGGTTTACCTTGAGTTTGTATCTATTATTTGCTCTTGTATTGTTGTGGTTGAAGCTGAAGTAGTCATTGACAGGAAGGACATTGTGGCAGATAATTTTATGTACTATGCTTAAGGATGTGTGGCATTAACCTTCTCCGCCCTCTGATTTCTTCCAGAATTTATACGAAAGCATTAAAAACGAGCCCTTTAAGATCCCAGAAGACGATGGGAACGATTTAACTCATACCTTTTTTAATCCAGATCGAGAAGGCTGGCTCCTGAAATTAGGTCAGTGGATCCAATCTTCCCTTCCAGCTTTTTCTTCTGCTGATGGTTGCTTTGTCTTTTCCTTTCCGCCCTTCCGCTGCTGGGCTGGAAATCTCTTTCTTCTCTTTCTGCTGAAATCATTATTTCACTGGAAAAATGTCTTGCTTTTTGATGATTTTACCCCGAGCTGTGGAATTGGATTTCCGAAGTTACCAATCTCACCCTGAAAGCATGCAGCCCAGTGGTGGGTTCCTCCCAGTTCGGCCGAACCGGTAGCGGTGACGATATGATGTCACCGAAACGGTTCTCCCTCCCCCACCCCCCCACGTTATTCTTACCTTTTATTTGGCCCCACACCCAATCTATTGCTGCCTCCTGAGTCCCAGCTGATGACTAGAGGGAAAAAAACTGTTTAAACTCTTGCCGTGGGGCTTCAAAGGGCCGCCCTACAGCTGATCAGCGTTAAAAGCAAACAATGAGTCGGGTCGTAAGTGCGAGGACTGGTCGTAAGTGCAAGGACCTTCCAGAAATGACTCTGACCCACTAGCCATGCCCACCTAGTCACATGACCTCCAAGCCACACCCACAAAATAAGCCACGCCCACAGAACCGGTAGTAAAAAAAATTTAGAACCCACCCCTGATGCAGCCCGTTTTTCCCGAGCATCCGAGCCCATCAAAAGTTCGGTTGGATTTAAGTAGGTATTCCGTAATGTACTTTTTCACCATTGGTTCCCAGGAAACACGCAAGCTTTTTCCTTTTATACCTGAATGTCTTCTGTTTTTTCCCCTGCCCCACTCGTTATTTGTGCCTTTCTGTTTGTTTTGATTTGGGGTTTTGATTTTTTTGGGGGGGAACGAGTGGTTTAAAACGTGCCTTCTTGTTTTCCTTTTGGGCTGAGATCTCTCACCTTTCTGTTCTGTGACTGGCTGTCCCTTCTTATTCTGCGTTAGGAGGTAGGTATCTCTCTTTTCACCTTCTCTTGCTTGCTTGCTTCTGCTTTCCTTTAATCCTTCCTCGGCATCCGTTTTTCCTGACATTTCTCTGCTTGCCCCTAAATGGCTCAAGCGGAGCCTGCAGAATTGTGCCAGCCTCAATTTAAACCCGTAGCAAATTATTGAGTCCTTGGTAACATCTTAACATAACACCCTCTCACTGACCAAATTGATTTAGGGCACTTTGATCCGGTGGAACTTTCTGGAATAAGAGCACCAAGGTAGCCCCAATATGGGAGGGCTTTCACCCCCAATCCAGGAGCCTTCAAGCAGTCGCATTCACGACAAACCATTTTATACCAAATTTATATTTCGCTGATAAAGAAATAAAGGGAGACTAGTATAGATCTATTTCAAGCTATTTAGCTCTCATCAGCTAGCCATACCCTTACTCAGATTCGAACTTGGGCTGCCTGCATGTTAGGCAGTTGTATTAACCTCCGAGCCACAAGTTCTCCTCCCTTCATCAGCTTGAGCCAGGGGAGAAATTAAGTGCTTGTCAGCACTTCAACCTGCATTTATTCTAGTGCTGACATAAGAAGGAGAAGAGGGGGCAGCTGGCAAGAGGACGCTTGACTTCTCACCTACTTATTTTCCTTGAAGATAATATCCCCTAGGAGATGAGATGGGAGGGGAGACATTCCTGGGAGCTTAAGTAGTAGATATGTGGGAGAGTGATTTGGAAGGAGGCCAATGAAACGCAGAGAATTGGGGAACGGAAAGGGAGGGTTTGGGGTCAGGAAGTCAGAGTTGGCTACGCCACGATCGGGGACAGGTTGTCGTGCTTAATAAAATGAAAGATTTCTTCAAAGACTATTTGTTTGGAAATGCAATTTATTTTATTTGAGACGATATCGAAACCTGACAGAGCTTTTCTATCGGGCACCTGGTCTACCCCAACATGTGGGAGGGAGCATACTGCTTCCCTTTCGCCTTTCAGCTCCAATCCAGGAGCCCTCAAGCAGTTGCATTCACGACAAACCATTTTATACCAAATTTATATTTGCTGAGAAAGAAATAAAGGGGGACTAGTATAGATCTATACTAGTCTCCCTTTATTTCTTTCTCAGCAAATATAAATTTGATATATATATTATTTATTTATTTTATTATATATTATATATATATATATATATATATATATATATATATATATATATATATATATATATATATATAATATTGTATAATTTTATATTATATATAATAATTATAATTATAAAATAAATATTTATTTCTCATTTCTCACTTGGTCTGTTGTGTGGATGTTTGGGTGATTTAGGGGTGGGGAATTTGTGGTGGGTGAGAGTATGTTGGATCTGGTCTTTGGATGTTAAGTGAATTTTATTGTATGGGTATACTGTGTATACACATACAATGACAATAAAGTTATTATTATTAAAATCTCAATTTCTTGGGTTTCGCTGATTTTTTTTTGCATGGAACAGACAAAATTCCAGCTCCAATTAATGCCATTGGCATCAACTTGTCTTTATTCCAATGTCAGAAATGAATGCAAACAATGCGAATTGACACAGGCGATTCTTATTTAACAGACATTTGTTAATAACGGACACTCTTGTGTTAGTCTGCTAAAGTGTGGCATCGGTGTAGTATATTTCTGTTTCTGCCCTAGTTATTGGTATCTTTCTTTTTCTGTGCTTGATCCCTGAGCAATAGCTTTTAAAACATAATGTCTGGTTGTACTTATCAGTTGTCATAATAAGAGAGTTATGAGAAAGTTATGGATGTGTTACTGGTCTTTTCAAGGTTGGTAGATTAGCAACGGGAAGAATTCAGGCAAGGAAGAGTTTATGTAAAGGATAATTCATATACACAATTCTCCCATCTGTAGAGGAATTCTGGAATGGTTTTACAGGAAACCATTATCTTATTAGGCAGAACAGTTATAGGGGGGGAAAACCTTCCCCCATTTTAAATATATTTTTAATTAAAAATTCATGTCCGCTATATAACTTAAGACACAGTAATTTTTTCAGAGGAAACACAAAACTGAAATATCAAAAATGGTATTTTTGTGCAGACCAGCTCATCTTACAGAACCTTCAGCAGAAACTTTGAAATTGGCCATCACAACTTTTCAAAAATTCAGGCATTTTTTTTGTTTGCGTTTTAATCTTGATTTTCAGAAAGGAACCTGACGTCTCCACACCAGTGGTGGGGTTTCATTACCAGGCTAGATAACGTCTTCTGTTTAAACCCCGCTGAAGATGTTACCGAGCCTGGTAACAAAACGTTCGGAAAACCAACCCGCAAGCTCGGAGAACGAAACTTCACCCTTACTCTACAACACCCCAGCTACAGATATTCACCACTATTGCAAACAAGGGGTTCTCCAAAGTCATCCAGACTCTGATGAAGGATTAGACAATTCATAGACAATTAATAATTGAGATCCTGTCAACTCGCAAAGCATCCCTGGCCTGCTCTCGAGTTGCCGTAGGAAAGGTGGGGGGGGAATGGGAAACCGATGAAATGGCAGGGCAGCCAAAGACAGATGCACATTCCAGACTTCTCTCTCTCAAGGCTGTATCCCAGGGTTACTTACAGTGGCAGAAGGGGGAGTGATCTCTACAACCCACGAAATTGCCCCGTTGGCGAATGTGATTGATGACACACCCTGGGGGGGAAGGGGAGGGAAACAGGGGCATGATCCAAGCTCTGTTGGTTTTTTTTTGAAAAGGGCTCGGTTACAAATTCAGGTTTCATGGGCCGATCAGCCCAAGTAGCATCTGTTTTCATTCCCAGTTAACTTCTAACTTGACTGTCGACTCGTTTCAGAGTCTAACCCTTGTCCATGACAGAGGCAGGAACTGTCTACTGCCCTATTTTAATGCTACAGAGGATGGAAAACGATGTAATGAATTGCAGATGGTTTTCCTCCTCCTCATGGCCGGATTGCCAGAAACCGTCGCCAGAAATCTGAGGTTTGTTTTATTCTTTGGCAAATCTGCCTTCTCACGGATCACAAAAAGGGGTTTGTTTGTTTTTTTTGCTCCAGCAATTCCCCAGGATTAGGACTGAGAAAAAGCCATTCCTGCCTCCTTTTTCTTAAATAAGCCCCAGCAAATGTTTAAATTCAGTCCCAAAGGTGCTTTTTCAAGAGGCAAAAACTGGACTTTCTTTGTTATTCTTTGAAGACGTTTCGCTTCTCATCCAAGAAGCTTCTTCGGCGTCAGAGAGCCGAAGAAGCTTCTTGGATGAGAAGCGAAACGTCTTCAAGGAAACGTCAGGGTTCCAAGTAGCACACCCCAATGAAAGAAGACTCCGAGGCTAGAAATTCCTCAAAGTTCCATTTTCTTAGAGATGTTCTATTGGCACCTCTGGGAATACCCGAATCTGAAAGCTTCCAAGTTTTCCCCACCCAAAAGAAAGTCCCTGGCCAGCACCCACAAGTCCATCACATGGTCCAATCAATGCACTGTCCCAAATGGAGATGCCTCCCAGTCACACCCCTCCAGGTGCAGGGCAAGATGTCCTTGACTCTCTGAGAAAGGAATGTTATTATGACTACATATCTCCCCTGCTTCATACAATCCCACCAGTTTCCCACAGCACTAAATGTGGGAATAAAGCCTGAAGATCCAATGTAGAAGACGGCTTCCAAGCATGACAGGAAAAACAACAAAAGTCCAGTTCCTTTTTGAAAAAGCACCTTTGGGACAACCATGACCTAGCACAGGGATCTGCAACCTCAAGCACTCAAAGAGCCATTTGGACCCACAGAAAAAAAAACACCGGGAGCCACAAAACCCTTCCCGTGCCTGACTATTTCTTGAGCGGCCACAAAACTAGCAGATGTAGTTGAATTAAACGTTCTGTTTTCTTCTCAAACTTTTCTTTTCTTGGATTTATCCATAGTTGGCCTACCGGGGGTTGAAAAGCTCAATAAACCGTGTGCCGGCGGGTGTCGCACATTGGCGGTTGTGACGCATATTTTGAGTGACAGGAAGCCGCAGCAGAGGGGTGAAAGAGCCACATGCGGCTCCAGAGCCGCAGGTTGCTGACCCTTGACCTAGGATGACTGAGAATCTCCCCAGACATTTAAAATCAGTCTTTTTCTAAAAGATGCTAGTTGCATCAACAGAGAATAGATTTGACAGCAGATATCGGCAAACAGATTTCCCACCCCCCCTTCCAAACCCTGCAGAAAACTTTGAAGTCCACATGATTGTCTGAATATTTTACGACGGGGTATGAAGCGTGCGGTTTTACACTGCGCAGTTTGCATGTAGAGGTAGTTTCCAACTTATGAAAATTGGGATGAGGATTTCCGTCGCTAAGCGACGCACCTGTGAAGTTACCTGGTTTTATGATCTTTTTTTTTGCTATGGTTGTTAAGTAAACCATGGCAGTTGTTAAGCGAATCACCAGGTCAAGTTGTTAAGTGAATCCATTGACTTTTCTTGTCGGGAGCTAACTGAGAAGATCATAAATGGTGATCACACGATCCTGGGATGTTGAGACAATTGTAATTTTGATCAATGTGACTCAGTGGTGGGATTCAGCCAGTTCGTACGTATTCGGAAGAAACTACGAGAAATTGTTAACTTTCTAAGCAGTTCAGAGAACCGGTTGTTGGAAGAAATCTCCTTTCGTTTTTTCCCACTTTACAGGGCTAATCCTGTAAGGAAGGCAGGAAGGAAACATTCTGGTGGTGTTTCTAGCCTAACCTTTATTGCTTACAGAAACTGCCTCTCTGGTTAACCTTTATTACATTGTAACAGCTAAAGTGAAGTGCCCATCGACATGAGTGACATTGAGTTGGCTACGCCCAAATTGTCACATGACCACTAAGCCACACCTACCCAGCTGGTCATTAGGGCAAAGAACCGGTTGTTAAATTACTTGAATCCCACCACTGATGTGACTCTAGAGATGCTGTGATCGTCGTAAGTTCGAGGACTGGTCATAAGTCTTTTTGTTTTTTCAGTGCTGTTTTCACTGTCACTAAACTATCGGTTGTAATTTGAGGGCTCCCTGTAACCCCGGGCAACACGGGAAACTTCTACCTCTTTCAAATTTTCCTTCGTCTGCTTTTGCTGTGGTTTTTATTCTCCTCTCTACCCCCAAAATAAATATTTCTTGGAGTAGCATTGAGGATTCTATTTGTCCTTCAGACAGGAAAAAAAAATAAATTCGGTAACGCCCAAGTTTATTTTGGGTGAATTTGGAGACATTGCCTAATGATTAATTGCGCGCCAATTTGAAGGGGTGGAAGAGGCAATGAAATTCCTGCAGCAGATGTTGGAGCTTGACAAAATCTTTGCAAGTAACAGATCCCAGGAAGGGATCCCTCCGGACAAGACAATTTTAAAAATTCCAAATTACACTGTCTGTTGGCCCCAGCTCAGCTCCACTGTCTGAGACGAAACCTTTTCTCGTAAACAGCCAAGGTCTGGTTTTAATTACTTCCTCTTCGGCTCAGGAAATAAATATGTCCAAGTTTTGGAATGCCGTTCTTCTCCGATGTTTCTGCTGAAAAGGAACAATTTGGTCGCTCGTTTGCGTTTTCTTCACCAGGAGAGGATAAAATGTCTCTCTTTTTTTAAAAAATGCCTTATTCGCTTAACCCAAATGCCTGGCCAGCATTTTTGATCTTTTGGGACATTAAATAATCCTTTGGAGGGTGGAAAAAAAGTAAATTAGAGAAATGTGGAAAGGGATCCTAAAGCGCACTGAGAAAGAGGTAGAAAAATATGGGAGTTCTCTTGCAGAAGGCAAACGTTTTGAGAAAGGAAAAAGTGGATTTTGGCATTGTCTCTGGAGGGAGGGGGTGGCTCTCAAAGATCTAGAGCAGGGGTCAGCAACGCACGGCTCTGGAGCCGCATGTGGCTCTTTCATCCCTCTGCTGCGGCTCCCTGTTGCTGGTCGGCTCCACAATTGATAGGGCTTTCAGTTAGGACAGGTAGAGGAAAAAAGATGCCGTGCTAGGAGGAGACTCTATGGTGGGGGAATAGGACTTCCGGTCAGCAGAGGACAAAGGACGCTGTGCTAGGAGGAGACTCTATGATGGGGGAACCGGACTTCTGATCAGCAGGGGAAAACGGATGCCGTGCTAGGAGGAGACTCTATGGTGGGGGAACCGGACTTCCGGTGGGCTCCAGAATTGAATGGGGGCTTCCGGTTAGGACCTTTGAGTGTTTAAGGTTGCCGACCCCTCATCTAGGTAGACAAATGAAGATAAAGTGCTGTTCCTTGCTAGTTGTTCCTTCGTTCTTGTTGGCAAAAGCCACCAGCTTTGGAACCTACTTCAAAGTTGTTGTCTTCGCCACCGATTTTGAGTAGGAGTTGAATCCCGTTGGTGCAATTAAATCAAGTTTTGGGTGGCTCCTCGAAGTGCACAGGTTCCGTCGCTAATTCGCTACCATCTTGAGGGTTTCTTTTCTGGAATTCCTTGCTTGGTGCCCTCGCTCATCTGCCACCCACCGACCAGGAAGAGGCTGATCCTGCTGCATCATCTTAGCAACATGGTCCGTTGGTGGCAGGGAATTAAGACATCCGTATGAATGTCATGGAAGTTCTTTGGCTTATTTCTAAAACATCCTTCCTTTAGTCCTTCCAATTCCAGCAGGAATGGAAGACGGGGTCCATAAAATGCTCACCTTCATTTTATCTCCACAATAGTTCTGTAAGGGAGATTGGGCAGAGAGTTAGTGCATGGATGAGGTTAGCTGGTTGGGTAATGAAACGTCTACAAGAAAACCCCCAAGCTTAGAGAACACCAGGGACCCCACAGTTAGTCCAAAGTCTCAATAAATTTCCATTCAGTTTCAACGTTCCATTTCATAGTTGCTCCATATTTCATCTGAAGAGCCAGTGTGTATTTCATAATAGCGACTGGATTTTCCCATCGTGTTAAGCTAGAAAGTCAGGTCACCTGAATTTTGCTTCGAGTGACGTGTGAACCCAGCTCAGAGGCAGCTCAGTTGACGATGGGTGTAGGCAAACCGTGGATTGAGGATTGTGTCTGAACTCAGCTAACTGTGGCTTGATTGTCAATTCCTAGTTAAATAAAACCCTGGCTTACTTAGCTCAGCAAATCAATCCAAGCTACCCTTTCTCGATAAGGAGAGGCTCAGTAACCTTGCGTTCATTTTAACCCTACTTCTATATCCATTTTTCCATTCAATTGTCTGATTTTGACACGGCTAATCCTTTAATGAAATAACAAGGTAACCAGGTTATTTTGTCCCATTCATCATAATTTAGGGCAAACCCCAATCTAACTGAGTGGCTTGTTTTGTTTTGTTTCTTTTTTTAGGTGGACGGGTGAAAACGTGGAAAAGGAGATGGTTTATACTGACGGATAACTGCCTCTATTATTTTGAATACACAACAGTGAGTATGGTTTGTTGTTGTTAGTTGCGAAGTCATGTCCGACCCATCGCGACCCCATGGACCATGTTCCTCCAGGCCTTCCTGTCCTCTACCATCCTCTGGAGTCCATTTAAGCTGATGCCGACTGCTTCATTGACTCCATCCAGGCACCTCGTTCTCTGCCGTCCCCTTCTTCTTTTGCCCTCCATCGTTCCCAGCATTAGGCTCTTCTCCAGTGAGTCCTTCCTTCTCATTAGGTGGCCAAAGTATTTGAGTTTCCTCTTCAGGATCTGGCCTTCTAAAGAGCAGTCAGGGTTGATCTCCTCTAGGACTGACTGGTTTGATCGCCTTGCAGTCCAAGGGACTCGCAGGAGTCTTCTCCAGCACCATAGCTCAAAGGCCTCAATTCTTTGGCACTCAGCCTTTCTTATGGTCGTGGTGTCCATGTTATAGGTGTCAATAATAATGTCGCTTCTTCCACAGCCAAGCTATTTCAACTGGTTGACTGGATATTCTTTTTTTCCCACAAATTCCTAGGACAAAGAACCGAGAGGAATCATTCCATTGGAAAACCTCAGCATCAAGGAAGTTGAGGATCCAAGAAAACCAGTAAGATCTCCCTCCTTTCCCCCGACTTCTTCAAAAGATCCTTTTCTCCCAGAAGGATCTTTCTTGATTTTCCTTGAAATCAGTCCTCATCCTTAGCGAGCAGCTTTTATGGATGTACCTGCTGCTTTTTGAACCTTCCACTTAGTGGTAAACTCTTGTTCTGGAGATGCATTTCAACGGCTTAGCATTGTGAACATCTGCTAATGTAAAATAGAAAATGGCTGATACGCAATTGGGTGGGGACGGATGTGAAGGGATGGTTGAATGTTGGCTTGTGCAGCAGAGCAACTCTGTGCCAAACGGAGGTGAAAATGTCAAATGTTGGTCTGTGGTTTGCTCCCTAGAATTGCTTTGAGCTGTACAACCCCAGCCACAAAGGACAGGTGATCAAAGCATGCAAGACGGAAGCCGATGGCCGGGTGGTCGAGGGCAACCATGTGGTGTACAGGATATCGGCTCCCACGCCTGAAGAAAAAGAAGAGTGGATTAAATCCATCAAGTGAGGACTTTATTCATGGAAAGACGAGTAGCACCAGGCCAGCTGTAGGGAGTCCCAGCTGTAAAATGGTGGGGCGGTGGCCTAGAGCAGTGGTGGGTTCCTCCTGGTTCGGTCCGGTTCGGCCGAACCGGTAGTGGTGACGATACGACGTCACCGAACCGGTTCTCCCCCCCCGCCCTCCCACCCCCCCACGTTATTCTTACCTTTTATTTGGTCCCACCCCCAATCTATTGCTGCCTCCTGAGTCCCAGCTGATGACTAGAGGGAAAAAAACTGTTTAAACTCTTGCCGCGGGGCTTCAAAGGGCCGCCCTACAGCTGATCAGTGTTAAAAGCAAACAAATGAGTCGGGTCGTAAGTGCGAGGACTGGTCGTAAGTGCGAGGACCTTCCAGAAATGACTCTGACCAGCTAGCCACGCCCACCTAGACACATGACCTCCAAGCCACACCCACAAAATAAGCCACGCCCACAGAACCGGTAGTAAAAAAATTTAGAACCCACCCCTGGCCTAGAGGTGTCCTCGCCTCACAATCAGGAGGCTGTGAGTTCGATCCTAGGTAGAGGCAGATATTTTTCTCTCTCTGGGCACAATGAGAATATATCTGCTGAACAAAACTCCTCATTGGCAACAGGAAGGGCATCTGGCCATTAACACCATTCAGTTGCCCAGACTCCATCCCGCAAGGGATTATGGGGCCGTTAAATGATGATGATGGTATCATGTGGATGTGTTCACCATACAAGGTAGTTCTTGACTTACCACCACAATTGAGCCCCAAATTTAGGTTGCTAAGTCAGACATTTGTTGTGAGTTTTGCTCCTTATTACGACCTTTCTTGCCACAGTTGTTAAGTGAATCACTGGTTAAGTTAGTAACACGGTGGTTAAGTGAATCTGGCTTCCTCATTAATTTTGCTTGTCAGAAGTTTACAAAAGGGGGATCACATTACTTGGTCTGTTGTATTACTTGGTCTGTTGTGTGGATGTTTGGGTGGTTTAGGGGTGGGGAATTGTGGTGGGCGGAAGTGTGTTTGGGGATTGTTATGTATGTTGGACCTGGTCTTTGGGTGTTAAGTGAATTTCGTTGTATGGGTATACTGTGTATACACGTACAATGACAATAAAGTTATTTATTATTTATTTATTTATCACATGACTCCGGGACACTGCAACTGTCATAAATATGACCCAATCGCCAATTGTCCGAATTTTGATCACTTGACCATGGAGATACTGAAGCGGTCGTGTGAAAAAGTCACTTTTTCCACTGCCGTTGTTAACTTCGAACGGTGACTAATTATTGTAAATCGAGGACTAATTGCACTTAATCCTTGATTTACAACCTTTCCAGCAGGGACACTTGGGAAGGGGGTGTATTTTAGCCAAAACTACATAGCGTTGAGAAACCAGGTGGAAAGTAATTGCCCAAAGTCCATACAGAGACAATGGCTTGTTCTTAGTTTGTTATGATCCAGGCAGAGTTTTTCAGCGTTGGCAATTTTAGGATGATGGACTTCCGACTCCCAGAATTCCCCAGTCCACAAACATTAAAACTGTCTAGGTTGAAAACCGCCTAGGTTGCAAACCTAGCCTAATTATTTATTATTATTTGCTTTCGTTTTTAGGGCAAGCATCAGCAAGGATCCTTTTTATGACATGCTGGCCACTCGGAAGAGACGGATTGCTAATAAGAAGTAACGCTGAGGAAGGACTCTCACCATCCCTTGTGTCCAGTGCGGAGGAAACCTGTCTCATCCCAACAAACTTGTGTCTTTGCTGTGTGGTGGAACCACAACTGAGCTGGACATTTCTTGTTCCTCTTTACTACTTGTTGGGGATTGTGATTCGTCGGTGTCCTGTCCTTCCTGGTAGAGGGAGATCTTTTCCTCTGTGTCTTTACGAGCTTACATCCAGAGCTTACATCCAGAGTTTACATCCGGAGCTTACATCCGGAGCTTACATCCGGAGCTTACAACCAGACTGTTGTGTGTAGCGTTGAACCCTACTGATGTGGCTTTTTGTGAGATCACATTTCTCTCTCCTCTGCAAGATGGTCATGCTTGAAAAAGCTTTCCAGGAAGTTGCTTTTCTCCCCCAACTGGTATTCCTCTCCCCCCTCCCGTTTGTTTCTCTTGGGTTTTTAGCGCAGTCCTCCATATTGTCTTCTCCAAGAGGTTCTCACTCTGCTTCCAGAAAACTGGATTGAAGGGATCCCCGATCCTTGCTCAAAAAAAAGAAAAGAAAAAAAAGAAAAGAAAAGATAGCTGTTTGCTGGCAGGTGAGGGGGAAAATGACACCCTGAGCATCACACCATTGCTGTGAAAGTTGTGCCCCTTGTGCACATGTCCACATCAGAGAGGAAGGACGTGTGTTGTGGTCTTCAAGAAACTATAGGCGGTGTGAATCCACCTCTGAAGGAGCATAAAGCCACAAGTAAAAAAATGGTTGATCTGAGGGCAGGACAAGAAGCCATGGGTGGAAACTAATCAAGGAGAGAAGCAACTTAGAACTAAGGAGGAATTTCCTGACAGTGAGAACAATTAATCAGTGGAACAACTTGCCACCAGAAGTTGTAAACGCTCCAACACTGGAGGTTTTTAAGAAGAGGTTGGATAACCATTTGTCTGAAGTGGTGTAGGGTTTCCTGCCTGGGCAGGGGGTTGGACTAGAAGACCTCTAAAGTCTCTTCTCTTCTCTTCTCTTCTCTTCTCTTCTCTCTTTCCTCTCCTCTCTCCTCTCCTCTCCTCTCCTCTCCTCTCCTCTCCTCTCCTCTCCTCTAATTCTAATTCTAATTCTAATTCTAATTCTAATTCTAATTCTAATAATTCTAATTCTAATTCTAATTCTATTCTAGTTTTGGTCAGACTATGTAAAATTCTGAGGATTTTAATCTCAAAGGGTTATTAGGTCCATCTATCCAGCCCTGTTTAGAAGACATAAAACTGAGGGATTCCTTAAAGAAAAACAGGAGTTTTGCGATTTTTTTTTAATCCTACGGATTGGAAATCCTCTGTTGACCAAAAGAAAAAAAATATGTAAACTTCCTAACGAACGAAACAGCAATTGTATTGCTGGGCATACGGATGGCTTATAAATGTTGGTATCTAACAGTATTTTCTCAGGAGAGCCATCCGTGGCTGACGACGACAATAAGAATCAAAATAATTGTGTTTCATAGTCACCAACCTGATGGCATCAAGAACAGGGATCCAAATTGGGCCGAAACTTTTCAATTGGTGACAAGGCCAGTAACGAAATTAGAAAAGGCTTAGGTTTAGCTTTCAGTGGAGTAATTTAATTTTAGTTTAGAGGAAAGGCCTCTGAGTTTTTTTGGCTCCCCAAGGTACTACTTCTTATGACGATACCAAAATCTCCTTTCACCCTTCTTTGTGCTTTGCAACATGGCTGTGTTCCAAAAGACTCTAGAAAGAGTGCAGAGAAGAGCAACGAAAATGATTACGGGACTGGAAGGTAGAACCTATGATGAAGGACGGTGGCAGTCTGTCTAGTTTAATGAAAAGAAGGACTAGGGGAGAGATGATAGCAGTGTTCCGATATCTCAGGGGCTGCCCCAAAGAAGAGGGAGTCAAGCTATTCTCCAAAGCACCTGAGGGCAGGACAAGAAGCATTGGGTGGAAACTCATCAAAGAGAGAAGCAACCTAGAACTAAGGAGAAATTTCCTGACAGGGAGAACAATTAACCAGTGGAACAGCTTGCCTCCAGAAGTTAGTCTTTCATCACTGGAAGTTTTTAAGAAGAGATTGGATAACCATTTGTCTGAAATGGTATAATAGCAATAGCTCTGTTATTCTGTTAAAACTTGGTTTTCTCCTACCGATCGCACAGAGACCGTATGTCCTTAGATATCAGCTAATACTGTGAGTATTAGATATCGGCTAATACTGTGAGCCAATACTTAGATATCAGCTAATACCGTAATCTGCAGTGGTGGATTCATTAAAAATGCATCTGTCCCACCCTATGCAATTGGGGGAGGACAGGAACAGGTTGCATTAAGCATACGCACAGATTGCAGGTCCACGACAAACCATCTTTTCCAGCACTGAACCTATTTCGTTCCCCCAAATCCCTGTCCTATCGTAAGAACTTGTCCGAGAATCTCTGCTTTTCGGTTTTTTTTCTTATTAATTTGGCGATAAGCTTCGAGTCCTTATAATGCCAGGCCCATCTTTTATTTAATAAAACAGATCTCCAAAGATTCCTGGAAGGATTGAGATGGAGAACGTTTTCCCGGGTATTTTGGAGAGGATTGGGGCTAAAGCATTGATTTAAATGTTGCTTAACCAGGATAACTTTTAAGAAGTGTTGAAATTCAACTCCCAGAATGTCTCAAGCCTGCATGGAGAATTCTGGGAATTGATTACTTGGGGATTCTGGGAGTTGAAGTCCGCACATCTTAAAAGATGCCCAGGTTGAGAAACACTGATTTAAAATTATCGATGTTCCTGGTTTGATCTCATGTTTCCCCTCACCGAGAAGTTTAAGCGAGATGCCATTTCTCCTGGCGTCATTTTTGTGGCCAATAAAACTTGGAATGACCATCGCCGCCGGCTGGTTCTCTGCTGCCATCTAGTGTTCGTCCGGACAGCCGCTATTCTGCCTCAGTTGCCTTGTGTCCCTGTTATCCTAACAACCGTGGGAACTTTATAGTTTTGGGGGGTTTTTTGGGGAGGGGGGTCTTCAAAGGGGTTTTGGAGAATTCAATAGCACTTTAGGTTCAGCTGGCCTGACAGGTGCGAAACTCAACAGGGAATTTGGGCTGGGAAGCTCATTTGAAGATTTTTGGGGTGGGTCGCCCCTTGTGGTACTAAATTTTAAAAAAAAAACATTTTAAGCTTCAGAGCATTTGGAAGAGTTCGTACTTATATGTTTGCAAAGGCAATGCCTATATTTCTAGGTATGCTTGCTGGAGAAAAAAAGGCTTGACGGACAGATGAAGGTTTAATGCTGGCTCCCGACTAGCCATGGTTCACGAATCGAGGGCCCTCCTCCGTGGCATAATTCCGCACGATTTAGTGGCCCACTGAAAGGGAGGCCGTGATTGAACGGGATACATTGGCTGAGCCAATGGCGACTTTTAAGAGGTGTAGGACTTCGACTCCCAGAATTCCCTAGCTAGCATGGCTGCCCGGCTGAGGAATTCTGGGAATCGAAGTCCACCAAGTCTTTAAAAGTAGCTACGGTTGAAGGACACTGTTCTAAACTACCTGAAATTTTGGCTTCGTGGACTTTAGGATGTAATCCTAGCCCAGGGGTGGGCAAATGTGGCTCTTTTATAACCTGTAGACTTCAACTCCCAGAATTCCTGAGACAGCCAAGCAGGAATTCTGGGAGTTGAAGTCCACCCATCTTCAAGCTACCAAGGTTGAGAAACACTGTAATAGAGGCACATTTGCCCATCCCTGTCCTAGCCTATTGTGTTTTTGCCAACCAATCATGCCCTTGTACCGTTCACGACACACGTTGTGTGTTTTTGAAACTGTAGTGTGAGAAGTGAAAGTACAGCTTTCCATCTGTACAGGCGGTTTTTTTTTCCCAGCCAGATATTGCGAAAAAAGTCTGTTAACTCCCCCAGTTCTATTTTTCTTGTACAATATTTCTTAACCACTAAATGTAAAGTAGCTTGTATATAGTGTATATCTGTGTATTGACCGGGTGCTTGGTTATCAATAAAGTGCACAATATAATTCCGTATCCATCGGGAGGGGCCAATCTCGTATGACTCTTTTTTAAAAAAATCCCATTTAGGCGACGGAGCTTCTGCCCGAGATCTCAACGTGAAAGTCAATTCGAGGAAGGTGGGGCAGAATTTGGAAAAAAAACGTACAGGTTGCCCTGGATTTACCATCATTCATTTAGCAACTGTTCCAAGTTAAAAGGGCACTGATAAAAACAGAGGGACTTGTGCAGTGGTGAAATGCAAAATGCTTTGCTACCAGTTCTGTGGGCGTGGCTTGGTGGTGGTGGGGGGGTCATTTGACTGGGTGGGCGTGGTTAACTTTAAAAAAAATCATCGGAACCACTTTTTAAAAACATTTTTTTTACTACCAGCCGGTTCGGGCGAATAGGTAGTAAAAAAATGCTTTAAAAGTTTTTAAAAAAAGGTTCTGACAATCGCACGGCAGTTGTGATAATCAGAACCTTTTTTTAAAAAAAAAAAACCTTTCTAAAGCATTTTTACTACCGGTTTGCCTGAACCGGTAGTTTTTATCACTACCGATTTGCCCGAACCGGAGCGAACCGGTAGCATTTCACCTCTGGACTTGTGGCTGGTCCACACGTTTACATCCGTTGTGACGTTCCAAGTTGCGTGATTAAATTTTGGGCAATTGGTAACCAACATGTTAGGACTGACTTAAGCCCAATTTGATGTATTTTTAGCAGGCTGACTAGTCTTTTTTTGAGGGGGAAGGGGCATGGTGGATATGGATACCATTTTATGGATATGGCAACAGTGAAGAACAGAAAGGAACTCTGACCCTATACCCAACTTCTATGAGGGAGGGAGAGAGGGAGAGAGAGGAAGGAAGGAAGGGAGAGAGAGGGAGGGAGGAAGGAGAGAGGAAGGAACGAAGGGAGGAAGGAGAGAGGAAGAAATGAAGGAAGGGAGAGAGAGAGGAAGGAACAAAGGAAGGGTTGAAGGAAGGAGAAGAGAGAGGGAGGGAGAGGGAGGGAGGAACGAAGGGAGAGAGGGAGGGGAGGGAGGGAGGAAGGGGAGGGAGGAAGAGAAGAAGGAAGGGAGAGAAGAAGGAGAGAGGAAGGGAAGAAGGGGAGGGAGGGACGGAGGGGAGGGCGGGAGAAAGGAAGGAAGGGAGAAAGGAAGGAAGGAGAGGTAGGGGGGAAGGAAGGAAGGTTGTAGCGTCCTTGGATCATGTGATTGCCAATTGCAACTTCTCAATGTGGAAAGCCAGGTTTGCTTAACATACATAGCACATGATCCACTTAACAACCGTGGCTCAAATTTGTAAAATTGGGCTTGACTCAGTTAAAAACCACCTTGTCCAGCAACCAAAATTCTGCTTTCTATCGCGGTCGTAACTCGTAGTATTTCTGCTTAAATGCTTAAAGAGAAAGTCATTGAGGTTCTTCCCAATAACTGCAACCCAACCAAGAGCTGGTTAGCCACGTGTCACCGTCAAATGATCTGTGCTGAAATACAGATGGTCCTCGACTTACAACAGTTCGTTTAGTGACCGTTCAAAGTTACAAAAGCACTGGAAACAAAAGCGACTTATGACCATTTTTCTTACTTTAGGACTATTGCAGCATCCCCCATGATCAGCTGATTTAAAATTCAGATGCTTGGCAACTGACTCACAGTTATAAGGGTTACAGTGTCTCGGGGTCATGTGATTCTCTTTTGCGACCTTCTGACAAGCAAAGTCAATGGGGAAACCAGATTCACTTAACAACCGTGTTACCAACTGAACAGCTGCAGGGACTCGCTTAATAAAGGTGGCAAGAAAAGCAGTACGATGTGGCATAAATCACTTAACACATTTCTCACTTAATGACATAAATCCTGGGCCCAATTGTATTTGTAAGTTGTCCCAAACTGTAGTTTATACCCATCAGATAACAGTCAGATGTAACTGAACTAACAACAGAAACGTCGTTTGATTTGATTTCTCGGATTTATATACTATATAAATTTTACATGCCATATATTTACAAGTGGGGTAAGTGCTTTTTTTTTTATCTTTAAAAAAACAAAGATCAAACTTTATAGACATCTCTGAACAACGCGGCTTGTATAAATCAGACAGATTATTCAGATGAACTGTATTTAATACAGTTTTCCCCACTCTTGTCTCCTGATGCAGGACCAGTGAATTAAGTGTATCACAGTTTGATAGCATTTCATCATTTAAAAAAATAATAATAAAAATTAAAAAAAAAAAAAGAAAGAAAGAAAAAAAGAAATCACAGTATGAACGTTGTCTGTAACTAGAAACTTGGAGAAGGAAACAAGAATCAGACAGCCGAGATCGGTCGAGGACGTACATCGCTACATTAAAAATTAACGCAATAAAAAAACTTAAGCGGATTTTTTAAAAAAAATTAAAATTAAAAACGGCTCCTCTCCAGGCGGATACTAGAGATCCTGGCACCTGCTCTCCTCGCTTACTTCTGGCTCAGGCTAGAAGTCCAGATATGGCAGGACAACCTGAGCAATAAAATAAAACTCTGCGGGGCAGGGAAGAGATGCCCAAGGACCAGGCAGAGGATGGGAAGAAAAAGCAGGGAAAAAGAAGAAGGAAGGGCCAGAAATACGACGGGAGTCGCTTTCGCAGGCGACGGTTACAAAAGGCGTATCCTGCAAAGGTTGGGTGAAGGGAAACACCCACGGAAGGAGACACTCGAGTGGGGGAAACGGACGCGGAAGCCTTTCGCAACAATGCACGGGCTGGCTCAAACCCTCTGCACATCGCCTGTCGTCGGTCTCGGAAAGGAATTTCAGGTTAAGCCGTGAAGGACAGGCCAGACGGTGTCGAAGCGATCTTCGGACGTGTCCCGCGATACATTCAAAAAGAAAAGAAAAAGAAAAAAAACAAACCCACGGCCAAGCGTCTGAACGTCACGCACTTTGCACAACAGTCCAAAGACGGGAATCCCAACGGAAGGAAAAATGACGTGGAGTTTCTAGTAGCAGACATCGGAAGAGGGGGGAAAAAAAAAACCTCGAGGCGCGCTCTCTTTTTTCTCTCTTTCTCTCTCTCTTGCAAACATCCAAGTTGCCTGTGAAATGTTTTAAATAATTAAATTAAATAGACACTTTTATCAGTTGCAGGCTTGCTTAAATTCGGGGAAGGTTCCTCGGCCCCTCCCCCCCGGCGCGGCAAAACAAGGTTCCGACTCGGGAGCGAACATCACGTGGAACATATGTATATATATGTATATATATATATATAAACACATTCAACCTGAGTGGTGGAACGAAGCAGCAGCATTTTGAGATGTTCGGATCCAGGGGCGTTATCTCTCACGGTGACGCGGATTATCAGGAGGAGGTTGCAATTGTTCAGCAGCTGTAGAAGGTTGTCCATCCTCTTGTCGTGTTTGGGAGAATCGCGGAGAATTCTGGTTTTTTGTTTCTTTTTTTTTTGTTTTTTTGTTTTTTTTTTTAAAAAAGAAGAAAGGCTCAAGGTAAAAACTAAAAAGAAAAAATGAAAAAAGGAGAGACGGGGCTTTCTTCAATGATAAAATCCTGTACAGTATTTTTTTTCTGAAGCACCAATTATGAATATTAAAGAGTTTGTAAGGGTTTTTTTTCTTTTTTCCCGGTTTATAAATACACTATAAGCTGGACTTCCAACGGACATTCCGGATCTGAAAGGCAAAGACAACAATATTATTTTATTTTATTTATTTTTATTTTTATTTGATTTATATGCCGCCCTTCTCCGGAGACTCAGGGCGGCTTACAATGGTTAAGCAATAGCCTTCATACTTTTGTATATTTATACAAAGTCAGCTTATTGCCCCCACAAACTGGGTCCTCATTTAACCTACCTTAGAAAGGATGGAAGGCTGAGTCAACCTTGAGCCTGGGGAGATTCGAACCTGCAGAAATTGCAGGCAGCTGTGTTAATTACAGGGTGCATTAAACCATTTGGGGAAATGGAAACCTGGAGGGTGGTTTCAATAGCCTGACACTTTTTAAAGGTAAAAGGTAAAGGTTCCCCTCGCACATATGCGCTAGTTGTTCCCGACTCTAGGGGGCGGTGCTCATCTCCGTTTCAAAGCCGAAGAGCCAGCGCTGTCCGAAGACGTCTCCGTGGTCATGTGGCCAGCATGACTCAATGTCAAAGGCGCACGGAACGCTGTTCCCTTCCCACCAAAGGGGGTCCCTATTTTTCTACTTGCATTTTTTTACGTGCTTTCGAACTGCTAGGTTGGCAGAAGCTGGGACAAGTCACGGGGGCTCACCCCGTTATACTAGGGATTCGAACCGCTGAACTGCCGACGTTTCAATCGACAAGCACAGTGTCTTAGCCACTGAGCCCCCGGGTCCCTTTTTAGCCTGACACTTTTTAGCCGGTGGCAAATACAGCTAGTCCTTGATTTACAACAATAATGCCGCCTGAATATTGCTAAGATGGTGTTAAGAAGATCATAAATGAGGTCATCCATGTGACCAATCCGATGGTCAACTTTCAAAACGACTCTGGCTGTAAAACGATTTTACAACTTCGTTATGACTGCAATTGACCCCAAAATTTCTGTTGCTAAGCGAGAGATTTGTTAAGTGAGTTTTGTTCCATTTTACGACCTTCCTAGACACAGTTGCTAAGGGAATCCCTGCAGTTCAGTTAGTAACATGGTTGTAAAATGGAATGGAATGGAATGGAATGGAATGGAATGGAATAGAATAGAATAGAATAGAATAGAATAGAAAGAATAGAATAGAATAGAATAGAATAGAATAGAATAGAATAGAATAGAATAGTAAAGTAGAAAAAGAGGACAGTAGAATAGTAGAGTAGAATAGAATGTAATAGAAAAGGATAGGTTAGGAATGAACAGTAGAGTAGAGTAGAATAAGAGAGTAGAATAAGAGTAGGGTAGGGTAGGGTAGGGTAGGGTAGGGTAGGGTAGGGTAGGGTAGAGTAGAATAGAATAGAATAGAATAGAATAGAATAGAATAGAATAGAATAGAATAACAGAGCTGGGAGGGACCTTGGAGGTCTTCTAGTCCAACCCCCTGCTTAGGCAGGATACCATACACCAGGGATGTCCAAACTTGGCTCCTTGAAGAGTGGTGGACTTCAACTCCCAGAATTCCCCAGCCAGCATGCGCTATAAATATGAGCAAGTTGCTGGCTGGGGAATTCTGGGAGTTGAAGTCCACCACTCTTCAAGGAGCCAAGTTTGGACACCCCTGCCCTACACCACTTCAGAATATCGGACGTCCCCATGGCCTTTGCTTGCCAGAAGGTCGCAAAAGGGGGAGGATCACGTGACCCTGGGACACTGTGACTGTCATAAATATGAGTCAGTGGTCAAGCGGCCAAACTTTGATCACGTGGATGCTGCAACGGTCGTTAAGTGTGAAAAACAGTCATAAGTCACTTTTTTTCAGTGCCGTTGTAACTTTAGTCTTAACTCCCCTCAACCGTCAAATCAGCCGCTTCTCAAATGCTCGGTGGAATTTTACATCGGCTGCCAGCAAAACTCGTCATTCTTCAACTGGGTTCCGAAACTGACACGCCACAGTGCCAGTTTTAAAAAACAGTGTATTTAAAAAAAAAAAAAAAAACTTAAAGAGTTTCTAAAGAGCAAAAGAGAGGATGCAGCCATGGAGAGCTGATTATTTAACAGACCAATGTTTGAGGGAAAGGTGGAAGAGAAAAAGGAGGGAGGGGAAGAGGAGGGGAGTTAGGAGAATGGAGGGGAGAGGATAGGGAGGGGGAGGGTGAAGGGAGAGGAGAGGGGAAGGGAAGGGACTAGAGAGGGGGGGAGGAAGGGGAGAGGAGAGCAGGGGAGGGGAAGGGAAGGGACTGAAGAGGAGGGAGAGGAGAGGGAGAGGAGAATGGAGAGAGGGGAAGGGAAGGGACTAGAGAGTTCTGTTCTAATTCTAGAACAGGGGGTCGGCAACCTTAAACACTCAAAGAGCTACAAAGGTCCTAACCGGAAGCCCCCATTCAATTCTGGAGCTAGCCGGAAGTCCGGTTCCCCCACCATAGAGTCTCCTCCTAGTGCAGCGTCCTTTTTCCTCTACCTGTCCTCACCGAAAGTCCTATCAATTGTGGAGCCGACTGATGACAAGGAGCCGCAGCAGTGGGATGAAAGAGCCACATGCGGCTCCAGAGCTACGTGTTGCCGACCCCTGTTCTAGGTGATAGAAGTCCACCCATCTTAAAAAATTGCCAAATTTGTGAAAGACCGGACGGTTTTTTTTTTTCCAACTCTACGATTCTCTGAGCATCCGAGGAAGATCTCCTGACGGATCAGGTCCCCGTACTCACCACTGTTGTGATCTTTCTGTGGATGGAAGCCATCCCTGTTGCTCCTTTCGAGGGATTTCGCTTTCCGCCAAACAGCGGAAGGGCTTTCCTTGCAGGACGTTGGGCTGTGTTTCCGACAAGCCTCCGAAGAAGATTTGGGCGCCTCCCAGTTTTTGGAATCCTTGATCTGCGGGGCGGTGGGCTTGGGGAGGGAAGGGGCGGTGGCCTCGTCGCCTTCTTCTGATTTCCTGGCTCGCTTCTTCTTCTTCTTCTTCTTCTTCTTGTGTTTGTGTTTGTGGGTCTCGGGCTCGGAGTTGGAGAGGGATGGGTCGGAATCCTGGCGATGCCTGAAGGAGAGCAAAGACCGGGAAAGTCAGAAGGTTCCGGAAAACAGACAGCGAGGCTGCTGTTTTACAGAGTAGAGAATAGCAGTGTTGGAAGGGACCTCGCAGGTCTTCTAGTCCAACCCTCTACTCAAGCAGGAGATCCTATAGCCGTGATGGCGAACCTATGGCACGCGTGGCACAGGTGGCACACGGAGCCATGTCGCCTGGCACGCCAGCTCAGCTAGGGCGCGCATGCACGCGCCGGCCAGCTAATTTTTGGGCCTTCTGGGCCCACCAGAAGTAGGGAAATAGGCTGTTACCTGCCTCCGGAGAGCCTGGGGGTGGGGTGGGGAAGGCTGTTTTTGCCCTCCCCAGATGCATAGAGAGGATCTGGAGCCAGGTGAGACAGAAAAACGGGCCTACCGGGACATCGCGTGCCAGGAGCAGAGGAGGGGGGGGTGGTTGTGCGTGCAAGCATGGGGCGGGGCACATAGAATTATGGGTGTGGGCATGTTCACGCGTGAACCTCCCCCACACACCCCCTTCCTGGCACGCGATGGCAAAAAGGTTAGCCATCACTGTCCTATAGTATACCATTCCAGACCTCTACACCCAAGCAGCCACTTCCCCTTCAAAGAGAACTTGCTTAAATTTCTTTTTTTTTTTTTTTAGGCCTCAACTTACGGCTGCAATCGAGCCCAACATTTTCGAAGACAGTTAAGTGAGTTTTGCCCCATCTTACAACCTTTCTTGCCACAGTCGGTAAGTGAATCCCACAGTCGGTAACTGAATCCTACGTTGTTAAGTTAGGAACAGGGTGGTTAAGTCAATCTGGCTTTCCCTGTTGACACCGCTTGCAAAAGGGAACCGCGTCATTCCCCAGGACACTGCAAACGTCATAAATATGAGTCGCTTAGCATCTGAATCTTGATCACGTGACCACGGGGATGCTACAACAGTTGTTAAGTGTGAAAAATGTCCTTTTTTTTTTTCACTTGCTGTTGTAACTAAACAAACGTTTGAGGACTAGCTGCATGAACGTTAATAGGAATAGCACTTAGATTTATATACCGCTTCACAATGCTTTACAACTCTCTCTAAATGGTTTTACAGAGTCAGCCTCTTGCCCCCAAACAATCTGGATCCTCATTTTACCCACCTCGGAAGGATGGAAGGCAGAGTCAAACCTTGAGCCGGTCAGGATCGAACTCCTGGCAGTGGGCAGAGTCAGCTTGAAATTCCGCATTCTAACCATTGTGTCACCACAGCTTGCTTCCTTCCTTCCTTCCTTCGCAAGCAATAGCAGACTTATATACCACTTCATAGTGCTTTTACAGCCCACTCTAAGCGGTTTATAGAGTCAGCCTCTTGCCCCCAATTACCTTGGAAGGATGGAAGGCTGAGTCAACCTGGAGCCTGGTGAGATTTGAACTGCCCAAATTGCAGTCAGCCGGCAGTCAGCAGAAGTAGCCCTGCAGTACTGCACTCTAAGCACTGCGCCACCACGGCTCGTGACGTAATGTACTGAAAGAGAAAGGGTTCTTCCATGCTTACGATTTATATTGACTGTTTCCTAATATGATTTGATTGCTTATTTGTACCCTATGACTATCATTAAGTGTTGTACCTTATGATTCTTGATGAACGTATCTTTTCTTTTATGTACACTGAGAGCATATGCACCAAAGACAAATTCCTTGTGTGTCCAATCACACGTGGCCAATAAAGAATTCAATTCAATTCAATTCAATTCAATTCAATTCAATTCAATTCAATTCAATTTCTAATTCTAATTCTAATTCTAATTCTAATTCTAATTCTAATTCTATTTTTTATTTATTTTTTAAATTTGATTTATATGCCGCCCTTCTCCGGAGACTCAGGGCGGCTTACAATGTGCTCAGCAATAGCCTTCATACTTTTGTATATTTATACAAAGTCAGCTTATTGCCCCACAAACTGGGTCCTCAATTTACCTACCTTAGAAAGGATGGAAGGCTGAGTCAACCTTGAGCCTTGGCGAGACCCGAACCCGCAGCAATTGCAGGCAGCTGGTCTTAATAACCAGCTTAATAACAGGGTGCCCTAGACCACTGCACTACCAAGGCTATTCTATTCTATTCTATTCTATTCTATTCTATTCTATTCTATTCCATTCTTCATTCCAATATTTATTCTATTCTATTCTATTCTATTCTATTCTATTCTATTCTATTCTATTCTATTCTATTCTATTCTATTCTATTCTATTCTATTCTATTCTAATTCTATTCTTCTAAGCGTCCATTGGAGTTGGGTGGGTGGGATGAATTTAAATACATCATTATAAACGTGGGCTGGCCTAGAGGGAGCGTTACTACTATAGGACAGGACCTACCGGCTGTCTTTGGGACTTGACTGAAGAGCACATTCCTGTGGCTTTGATTCATTCATGGGGTCATTAACTGAGTCATTCACTGAGTCACTCTTTCGGCCACCCCAGAAAGTAGGGGGCGGAGACTGCTGTGCTACCCACATGGCAGGTAAGGAACTAGGGCTAAAAGAAAGGAAGAGGCTTACAGGCTGCCCTGTCAATCCATACATTTCAACCGCCACCAATTCACACCAGGGGTGAAATCTACTTACTTTCCCTACCGGTTTCGGAAGTGCGCCCCGCGCGCATCACGTGAGATTTGGGACACTCTGTGCATGTGCAAAGTCTTCTGCGTATGCGCAGAGGGTAAAAAAAACAGGTTACTTCCTGGTTAAAAACAGGAAGTAACGAGTTCCAGGCGGGTGGGTGGAGCCTTGCGCTGCCACCGCTACCGGTTCTCCGAACCACCCGCCGCTGCCGCTACAGATTCGCCCGAACCGGTGTGAACCGGTAGCATTTCACCTCTGATTCACACCCATGTCGCGAAGCTATCTTCGGTTGCATGCCAACCGGAGTCGTGTTTTGTGGAGAGGGGCGGCCGTGTAAATTGTGACGGACAAAAGCAGAGAAATAAATACAGGGAGTCCTCGACGTACGACCACCAACTGAGCCCGACGTTTCTGTGGTTAAGTGGGACATCTGCCAAGTGAGTTTTTGCCCCGTTTGATGGGAATTTTCTCGGCCACGTTTGTTAAGGGAATCACTGCAGGTCTTAAATTAGTTAACCCGGTTGTTAAGCGAATCTGCCTTCCCCGTTGATTTTGCTTGTCAAGAAGGTCGCAAAAGGGGAATCACGTGACCCCGGGACACTGCAACCGTCACAAATGTGATTCAATTGTCAAGCATGTAAATCACGTGACTATGGAAATGCTGCAATGGTCATAAGCCACTTTTTTTGGAGCACCGTTGTAACTTCCGTCGCTAAATGAACTGTTGTAAGAGTCGGGGACTAGCTGAACAGGTAACCCTCGACTGACGACCCCAAATTTCTGCTGCTAAATGAGACAGTTGTTAAGTGAGCTTTGTTAACCCCTGCAGGTGTTAAAGGTAGTAATAAGCTAGTTAAGTGAATCTGGTTTCCCAACTGACTTTGCTTGTTGGAAGGTCACAAAAAAGGGATCACATGACCTCACAAAGACACTGCAACCGTCATAAGTATGAATCAGCTGCCAAGCATCTGAATTTTGGACACATGACCTTGGGGGATGCTGCAACGGTAGTTAAAAACGGTCATGCGGTCACTTTTTTTCAGTGCAGTTGTAACTTTGAACGGTCACTAAATGAATAGTTATTAAGTCGAGAGCTACCTGTATCCACTTCTTGGAGGATTCTGTTGAAAACTAAGGTATTCACTGAGAGGTAGGTCACAGGGCATCAGCCAGGCCTTTCCAAATGAAATAGGTAAAGGTAAAGGTTCCCCTTGCGCATATGTGCTAGTCGTTCCTGACTCTAGGGGGCGGTGCTCATCTCCGTTTCAGAGCCAGCGCTGTCCGAAGAAGTCTCTGTGGTCATGTGGCCAGCAGGACTCAACGCCAAAAGCGCAAGGAACGCTGTTCCCTTCCCACCAAAGGTGGTCCCTCTTTTTCTACTTGCATTTTTTACGTGCTTTCGAACTGCTAGGTTGGCAGAAGCTGGGACAAGTCACGGGAGCTCACCCCGTTACGCGGCACTCGGGATTCGAACCGCTGAACTGCCGACCTTTCGATCGACAAGCTCAGCTTCTCAGCCACTGAGCCACTGCGTCCCTTAAATGAAATAAGAAATAGCTTTAAAAGAAATCAAGCTCCTCAAATCTTTCAGCCTCTTTTTTTTTGGGGTGGTGGTGGTGGAAGGGGGCAGACGGTGGGGGAAAAGAAGGATTGGGACACCAGTGACCAACTTCAGAAACCACACAGTAGAGATAAAACCCCGTTTACATCTCAGGCTCCCACCGTGCTCTTTTGCTCACCTGGACTCTTTCTCCTTGTGTTTATCTTTTAACTTCTTCTTCTTCTTCGACTTCTTCCGTTTCCGTCCCTTTTGTTCGTCGGGGGAAGGGTCTGGCAAGATTTTGGGGTGTTTCTTTTCGGGGACGCAGTCGCCGGCCTCGGGGCTTGGGGAGAAATGCCTTTTCCGATCGAGGTTGTGGCTCAAACGGCTTTTGTAGTAATTGTACTTATTATAGGGGCTACTGTAAACATGACTTGATTTGCTATAGTCTCTCTCGGAATGAGTCGGCTTCCTCTCCTGGTTATGCCGGGGCACGTGGGAAGCCGAGTAGTAGTAACTGTACGACCGGCACACGTCCCACCTCCTCGGCGTTTCCTGGTAGTACCGCTCCCTGCTCCACGACCTCTCTCCTCCTTTCCCGTAACTGGGCCTGCTCCGTTCAGAGTCCGTTTGGCCCCGGCTGCGGGATCTGTAGGGAGGGTACTTCCCCAAACTCCTGGCGGGATCGGGACTGCCCGGGAACCTGTAGTAGCCGGTGCCGTGGTATTCCCGTCGGGGCTGCTCCTGCTGCTTTCCCCGCTCCCTACTGTAAGCGCACCTTTGTTTGCTGCAGTGTCCATCGGGCTGGCTACGCCCACCTGCTCCGTCTACCTCCTCCTCCTCCTCCTCCTCTTCCTCGGTTTCCGAACGCTTCCTTTTAGGACGATAATATTCTTGGTCGGTTTTTTTGTAATTGTGGGCTTTCTCCTTCGGGGAGGATCTCGGGCACGGCTTTTCGAGGCTTCTTCGAACCGGCTCGCTGCCGTCTGCTGGTTTGCTTTCCGTCTTTGAACACTGGCTCTCGGCAAGAGTTTTGGGTTGGGGAAGGGGAGAATTCTCGGCGCACGGGGAGTCCTTACTGCTCGGAGGGCTGCCCTGCCTTTCTGGACCCGTCTCGGGTGCCTTTAGGGGAGTTTTTAGCTTTTGGGGCCTAAGTTCACCGTCCAACCTCATCTGGGGGCTCTGGGCGTCTTTTTCTGGCGATCCTGCCTGTCCTTCAGCAGGCTCGGGGTTCTTCTCTGAAGCGGCTTTCTCGTCTTTGGGTACACCTGCCTTTTCAGGAAGGACTTGACCATCTCCTTCTCCAGGGGAGGCAGCTTCATCTGTTTTTGGGGAACCCTGCTGCCGGTCGTTCTCAAGCGGTCTGTTTTCTGTCTGGACAATCCTTTCACCAGGGTCCTTCATGTTTGAAGTGACGTCGAGGTCCAAAAGTATTACGGGGCTTGGGATACTGTTGGGAAGGGCAGCAGCGGCCTTTTCAGAAGCGTCCTCAGCTGTTGGTTTTTCTGGTTCAGGAGCGCTGCTGGTCATGAAGAGAAAGACATGTCAAGATGGATGTCAGGCCTGCCACCATTGAAACCTTCTAAACCAGGGGTGTCAAACTCAAGGTATGGGACCTGATCTGGCGTCATGGTGCCTCTACCAGTGAAAACAGAGCTCGCGTGGGCCGCAAGGTGAACTTCACGAGCTCTGTTTTTGCTGGCAGAGGGTTGCAGGAGGCCATCGCAGCTGGACACGGAGCTCGGGAGTCCGTTTTCACTGACACGAGTGACATCAAGCTGGGCACACACACCCTGCCCCCCCCCCCGAGGTCAAACACAAGCCTGATGCGGCCCTCAATGAAATAGAGTTTGACACCCCTGCTCTAAATAAAAACAAGCCTTGGTTGCATTGGTTAAGAAAGGAACAGTTTTATTAGAAGTGCCTTGCAGTAACGCAAAGCCAGAACTGAGAATCGCACGCCAAAATTCCTACGTTCACCTTTTCCCTCCCTTAGCTGTATCTCATCGCCACCCCGTGTAACCAATCAGACCCAGGTAAGATGTTTTCATAATGGACAGTCCAAGCATAGTTTGCTATGTGGCTCCCTCCTTCTTCCAGCTGGGTGACCTTGAGGCAGCATCTCGAGGAGATAACAGCATTTACTTTCATTTCCCCAAGCATTCTCCCACTCCCACTCACCCAGTTCATGGCAGTCTGTTACCATATAGCAAGCATAAGGTGGCAGCTGACATGGGATTTCAACCTGAGCATTCCTTAAAAGTTCTTTTAACTTCTGGGGAACCTTTTAAAAAAAAGTGGGGGGAGGGAAAAATGAACCTGACGAGCACTCTAGGCATCTGACAATACAGATTTTGTGAAGCTCATAACAAGTTTATCTTGTCAAAAGCAGCTTGTTTTCCTCATGTCACAAGATACAATTCTATCTGTCCAAAATCTTTTAGCACAGAAGGCTTCAGATGGAGAAACGAACATGGAGATTCATTTCTTCAAAGGCAAACAGATTAAAATGCAACTTGGGAACCTGTTTTTGTTTCTTATCTCAAAATCCTTGCTTTGTCCCACGTTCCCTCAGTTCCTAAAATAGGTAGGAAGAATTTACCAGCACAAAGGAACAGGCCACAGGGTGAAGGAGTTAAGACTGACTTGCAAGCTTCACTCAATGAAGGCAGCCATTCCGATTTAAAGAACTATAGGCAACTTAATAAACAAATTTATAAAATTGGCAGATATAGTAAATCGATTGTAGTTTGCTTTTTAACTGGACCATAGCTATTTTGCCTTTATAAATGCATAAATTTGTGTTCCCAAGGAGGAGAAACATGAAAAATATAATAAAAGCAGAAAGGGAACAGAATGATGTGGCTATGTGACTTGAAAATCCAGCTAAGATATAGGTATTTGGCGTTAAGTCTAGATGTGTTCCAAGCACCAATTATTTATTTTTTTGGATTTTCAGCAACTTCGGTGGTGTACATGGGATTCTTCTCTAATTTTTATCTCCACAACAACCTTGTGAGGATGGCTGGTCTGAGAGAGGGATAGCTGGCCTACAGTCATTCTACAAACTCTATGATCAAGGGAGGATTCAATCTTGTATCTTCCCCATGCCAAACCAAGTCCTCAGTGAGGTGCTTCTGCTGAGCCCCCTTCTCGGCCAGATCCAATTTGAGCTGAGCTGTTTTGCCAACTCTTTCTCATGGTGGCTGCTTAGCTCCAACAACTGCTTCTTGTTGGGGCCCTAAGGAGTCCGGGCGGGGAGGCGAGGAGTGGCTGGAGGTGGGGGGTGCGAGTAGAGGCTGGCGAGGCGCCTTGTCGTGAGTGACATCGAGTTGGCACCTCCCACCCCAGTCACATGACCACCTAGCCATGCCCACCCAGCCAGTCATTAGGCAGATCGTATTAGTGGTTCACGGGATTTAAAATTATGACTTTAGTGGTCCCTGAGGTCCGAAAGGTTGGTGACCCCTGATCTAAATGAACATTTAGTTTTAAAGGTGTTTTTTTTTTACAGAGCGCTAATCACCTGCCTCTTAAAATTCAGAACCTACCATATTTTTTGGAGTATAAGACGCACCTTCGTTTTTGGGGAGGAAAATAAGAAAAAAACTGATTGGCAGATGGATCCGTCTCCCGGAATACCCCCAATCAGCTGTTCCCAGAATTTTAGCAATAGGTTCCTTGGTTGTGAGCTGTGTGCCTTGCTTTTTTTGCTTTTTTTTCTGCCTCTGAAACTTCTGAAACTCTGTTTCAGAAAAAACATTTTCGTGCCTCTGAAAGCCTCCAAAAGTGCTTCAGAAAAAAAGCCTCTGAAGCTTTGTTTGGAGGCTTTTTTGCTGAAGCTCTGTTTGGGGGCTTCTTTTCTGAATCTTCATTTCTGATGCTTTTTTCAGCCTCTGAAACTTCTGCTTGAGAAGCTGGGCGGGGCTACATTCGGAGTATAAGACACACCCAGATTTTCACCCTCTTTTTTGGGGGAAAAAGGTGCCGTCTTATACTCCGAAAAATATGGTAGTTAGAATAAAGGAAGACCGTTTTACCTGGAGTCCCCCGGCAAGGTTTTCGACTGCTTGTATCTGAAGGAATCTGAGACGTCCTCTTCAGGGACTGAGGACAACGCTTTTGGAGAACCCTGTAAGATTCAAAACAGACAAGGTTAACACAATGACAAGCAAGGGGATGGGGTAAACTAGATTCCAGTATGACATCCGGAGTAGTAAGATCAGCACACGTGACTTGCCCCCAAGAAGAATGCAACCATAAACTGGAAGAATAGGACACCAGCGGTTCCTTTCAGATCTAGAAGGGATTCCATGGTCACCTCGTTCTGTAGCCTTTTCCAATTCCATTCCATTCAAACCTTTGTCGTCAGAGTACAGCATGTGTACAATGAGATTGGCTGAGCCTCCCTTCGTGTGCATCCCCCCACAACCCAATACAACTCACAGTGAAAGACAGTAAAAGAAAAGAAAAATCCCTAGCCCAGTGGATCCTACTAACAAACACACAATCCTACTGCACCATGTCAATGTATTGCACATCGCGCCGGCCCAGCAAGTCAATCGTACTATGTTGTTGCAAAGTTATTTTCCATTCAGGAGCCTGACAGCCCACGGATAAAAACTATTCTCCAGCCTATTTGTGTTGTGGTCCACTGGCGGCCTGCGGAGCTGGCAGCAGAGTCAGACAGTGAGGAGGCTGGGGGGGAACATGGGCCAGTCCTGGGGGCTGGGGAAGCCTCGGACGAGAGCTCTGCGTCAGAGGCAGAGAGGGAGCCAGGACCATCTGGGACTTATGTGCTGCCTCCGGAGCCTCCAGTCGGACATCAGCGAGGCAGAGGAACAGGGGGAGCCTCTTCCCAGTGCGCGCATGCGCAGAGCTGCGGGAAGGCAAGAACAGTTAAAACAAAAGGGGCGACTCGGGAGTAAGGCTTGGAGGTGATTGGTCCCTTTCATAAGACATAAAGGAGGAGCAAAGGGACATGAGCCTTTGCAGGAAGCAACTTTGTTCGTTCTGGCCGGTTTAAATTCTGAAGCTCCATTTTGACTCTGCGCTCCGTGTGGCCTTGCAAAGCTAATTGCCAATTAGGTCTTTGGCAGCGTGTCAAGGGAGATAAAGGTGGGTGCTTATCAGCCTTCTCCCGAAGGACCGTGGCAGACTTCTGTCGGACTCTTTACAAACTATTTGGGACTCATCTGTGAATGAACAGATTGAGAATGAACAGGCTGTGAACGAACAGAATTCACAGCCGTTGAGATAAAAAAGAGGGTTTGGGGGACTAATTGTGTGCTTTTTACTGTCTCAGGAAGCCTAGGTCAGAACAATTTATGCGGCTGCCTATGCTTGTATATCTCCTTCCCGACGGCAGGAGAGTAAAGAAGGGCTGACCAGGGTGTGAGTCGTCCCTGAGGATTTTCCTCACTCTTCTAAGGCAGCGAGCCCTAGCGATGTCGTCTAGCGATATCAGGGGACAGCCCACGATGTTTTGGTGCTGTGCTCACCACCCTCTGTTAATGTCTTTCTATCTGCGGCTGTCACCGTGATGCAATGAGTGAGGAGGCTTCCTATTGTGGACCAGTTCTTCTCGGAAAAGGAAGAGGTGGAAGCTGATGTGTGGGAAGCCAGCATTTAAGCATTGAACTCTGGCTTTTCCCTTTGCAACTCAGGAGCCCCAAATCTTATTTGGAAGTTAAAGAAGGAAGAGGTATGAGTACAGGAAGTCCTCGACTTACAACCATTCGTTTAGCCGTTCGAAGTTACGACGGCGCTGGAAAAAAGTGACTTACGACCATTTTTTTTAAACACTTACAACCACCGCAGTATCCCCGTGGTCACATGATCCAAATTCAGGCACTTGACTCATACTTAACGACGATTGCAGCGTGCCCGGGAGTCACATGAGCCCCTTTTTGTGACTTTCTGACAAGCAAAGTCAATGGGGGAAGCCAGATTCACTTAACAACCCGTATCGCTAACTAAAACAACTGCAGAGATGCACTTAACAAATGCGGCGAGAAAGGTGGTAAAATGGGGGCAAAGCTCACTTAACCACGGGCCTCATTGCCTGGCAAATAAAAATGTTGGCCTCTATTGTCGTAAGTCGAGGACTCCCCGCATTCCTAGAAATCCACTCACTTTTCCGGGCAACCCGTTGGTTTTGGAAAACGGGTGATTTGCCAATTTCACAGGCTTCCCTTGGGAGGTGGGAAGATCGTTGCCGATTTGTCCGTTCTGCTTCGGGGCATCGTTTAAGCTAATGGAGACCATGACGGTTATGTTTTGGGGTAACTCGGGCTGGCAACTTTCCTTTTCCGGCTTGTGACAGGACGCGCACGAGTTCTCCAGCCCGCCCGCCGTCTCTTCTAATAAAATGCCGTTGGAGACTTTGACGTGGCCGTTCTCTTTCAACAGGCCTTTAGATTCCTCGTCCGATTCTTCGGAAGATTCCGCTCCGTAAGGGACCAAGATGCTTGGACTGTGTTTGGCTTTGCCGTTCATGATCAGCTTGGAACCGGATTTGCCGGGGGCGGTCGGTTTGGAGACTTGGTTAGCAGCCGAGGAGACGGTGGAGGAAGTGCTTGAGGTAGATTGCACTGCGGAAGGGTTTGAAATGGTGGCGGACGGGGCGGGTTTGTTGAGGCTCTCCAAGGTACAGCTGGTGTGAGACACGCTTTGGCGAGCAGGCAGCTTGTTATTGTGAATACTGAGGGTGAGTTTTGGCTTCTTGGAGGAATCCGGGGTGGCGGCCGCGGCCGACCGGTTCATGGTCCACTTGGAGATGGACAAGGAAGGCGCCGACGGAGATTTGACGAGGGAAGCGTTACTAGAAATGGCCACCGTACTGCTGGGCGTTTCCTTCAGGGATCCGTTTCCGTTCAAATGATTCGAATTCTGCAGTTATGCAAAAAGGAGAAAAGAGAAACCCAGAAAATAAGAGATCTATTCCTGGGCAAAAGACATATGATTCCATGTTGGTTTTAACGTTTGATATTGATTTTAATTGATATGTTTTAAATTATGGGCCAAATTTTATTTAATTAGTTTTAAATAATTATTTTAACTTTTGTACAAATGTTTTTATTTTGGCTGTTCACCGCCCTGAGTCTGAAAGGAGAAGGGCGGTATACAAATTTAATAAATAAATAAATAAATAAATAAATAAATAAATAAATAAATAAATAAATAAATAAATAAATAAATTAGATGGAGCGATTGTTAAGGACTTCCTTTCTCTAATTAAAAATCAGGGCTCTCTCTAAACAGTTGGGGTGATGCCCTCTGACTTACCTTTACCATGTGCGGAGGGAGCTGAGGTCCGATAAATCCAGGATTACTTTGTTTATTACCGATCACCCGTTGATTGATAACCGGTCGGGGAGAAGACTGCCCGGGCGTGTGGATCGAATGAATGTGTTCGGCACCGTTTTTCAAGTCATGGGTCCTAATTAAAAAAAAGTTACATTAAGCCGTGTTAACTTCCCCTTTCCACAGATTGCCCTAAGATTCTTTTTTTTTTAGGGTGGCATCCTTATTTGTCACCAGGGAAGATGAGTGACTCACCAGAAGTGGGGCAAAAACCCAAGGCAGGTCCTGGTGCCAACGGTCGGAAGATTTTATATATATTTTTTTTTGAGCACTTGACCTTACCTGATGTAAAACAGCACGTAGGCTTGTTGATTTAATACAGTCCTGATGTCGCTGTTTGAAACAGTGGAGTCGTTCATCTGGTACCACTGCCCGTTACTGGCCTTAAAAAGAAAAAGAATTACAGGGGGAAAAAAAATTATTGTCGTCTGTAAATCCATTCTCCAATGTGTGGCAAAGCAAAACCTGCATCTAACATCTTTGGTGGTTAGCTTCCTTAGATCTCAAATCATAACATTTATCCTATGCGACTCTAGGGTGCCATATTGTGGTGATTTTATCAGGATTTTACTGTCAGGTTTCGATGTCATCTCAAATAAATTGCACGCCCAAACAATTAATCTTTGCTGAAATATTCCATTTATTGAGTACGACAGATCTGGCCCCGACTTCGTCGTAGCCGATACTAACCCCCTGACCCCCAAACCCTTCCCTTTCCGTTCCCCAATTCTCATCTTCTCATTGGCCATCTTCCAAGTCAGTCTCCCCAGCTTCTGACCTCACCCCACAGGAATGTTCCCCCCTCCCCTCCCATCTCCTAGGGGATATTATCTACAGAGAAAATAAGTAGGTGAAAAGTCAAGCCTCGTCTTTTTATGGCAGCATCAGAATGCTGACATTTACCTTAATTTAATATTTTATCTTGGCTATTGTATTGACCACCTATATGCATCCATCCATTCACCCATCCATCCATCTACCCACCCGCCTGTGTTTCCCTGAAAATAAGACTATGTCTTATATTAATTTTTGCTCCAAAAGACATATTAGGTCTTATTTTCCAGTTAGGTCTTATTTTTGGGGAAATACGGTACTCAATGTGTCTGGCTGACGACCTTAACTGGGGCTTATTTTTGGGGTACGGCTTATATTACAAGCATCCTGAAAAATTATGCTAGGGCTTATTTTCTGGTTGGGTTTTATTTTTTTTCGGGGAAACTACCTACCTACCTACCTACCTACCTGTCAATTTGTCTGTCGATCTACCTACACACACACACATTATATATATGTGTGTGTGTGTGTGTGTTGTGTATTTGCTGATGCTTTAAATATATTCGTGATTGCATGTATAATGTGTTTCATATCAGTGACTGCATGACTTCTGTTGATGCCATATGCTAAATTTTTTTTAAAAAAACTCCAACCTCCTGCGTCTTCTTTATTTTAAAAAAATGCCTACAGCTCCCACCGAGATATCAGAGGCATTTTTTTCAAAATAAAACCGTGCCCATGCCTCACTTAGAACTGGACCGCACCAGATGTTTCTCTTCTAGAAGGGGATGCAACTGGTGGTCAGCCAAAAGAGATAAAAATTCTTCCATGCCACAGATGTTACATGTCAACGTTGGATCCAGGAGGAGGCCCAGCCCGTTTCAAAGCCCTCCATCCTTTTTGCAGGAAAATACAGATGCATTACGATCTCAGATACTCCAGATGGCAGTAGGGAAAATTAGGAATGGCAGCTATGTTCTTGGGAAAGACTCCGGATCAATTTTAATTGGAAAAATAAAAGGCTTTTTTTTTAAAAAAAAAGGCTGGTGGGAGGAGAAACGGTGCCCTCTGCTGGGTTTTAGTGAAATACATACTGTACTAAACAATGAAATGATTTTGTTTAGCAGCAGCACAAGGGAAAAAGATTCCAGAAAGAAAAAGAGACTTGCATAGCCTTACGTTTTGAAGCAAGCATTTAGTAAAAGTCTAAAAGCAAGCACAAATTTCTTGAGAGCAAGAACTGCCTTAAAAGAAGTGTTTCTCAACCGTGGCAACTTGATATGTGGATTTCAACTTCCAGAATTCCCCAGCCAGCATGCAGGGTTGAGAAACACTGCCATAAACAATTACTGTATTTTTCGGACTATAAGACACACATTTTTTTTCTCTCAAAAGGGGGTGAAAATGTCTGTGCATCTTATAGACCGAATATTGCCGAAGCCCCGCCCACCCACGGCCCATTTTCAGCCCGTTTTCAAAGCTTTTTTGGCCCGTTTTCAAAGCTTTTTTCTGCCCATTTTTTCCGGAAAAAAACAGGCCAAAAAAATCCTTGAAAATGGATTGAAAAAAATCCTCGAAAACGGGTCGAAAAAATCCTCAAAAATGGGCTGAAAAAGCCCCAAAAATGGGCCGAAAAAAGTCCTGAAAATGGGGCGCGTGGAGGCCATAAACTTTTTTTTTGTTGTTTTCCTCTTCTAAATTTAGGTGCGTCTTATAGTCTGAAAAATATGGTAAATGCCTGGGTTTTTACATTTTACACTGGTTTAGGTTAATTCCTTCCCCTAGCAATGATCTCAGAGTTATGGATTAGTGCAGGGGTGTCAAACAAAAAGAGCCGAGGTGGCGCAGTGGTTAGGGTGCAGTATTGCAGCTGACTGCTAGTTCAGCAGATCAGCGGATCAAATCTCACCGGCTCAAGGTTGACTCAGCCTTCCATCCTTCCGAGGTGGGTAAAATGAGGACCCAGATTGTTGGGGGCAATATGCTATTTAGTATACTGTCTTTGGTGTAAGCCGCCTAGAGTCCTCGGAGAGTGGGCGGCATAGAAATATAAATAATAAAAATAATAAATAATAATAATAAACTCAAGGCCCGGGGCCCAGATTTGGCCCTCAGGGCTGCCCTGGAAACGGCTCGCGGTGCCTCTGTCAGTGAAAACAGAGGGCCCTCCTGAGCTCCGTTTTTGCTGGCAGAGGATTGCAGGAAGCTGCCGACAGCAGAGCTGGCAGCAGAGTCGGACAGTGAGGAGGTCGGGGAGGAATATGGGCCAGTCCTGGGGGCTGGGGAAAGCTCGGACGAGGACTCCGCGTCGGAGGCAGAGAGGGAGTTAGACAGTAGTGAGGCAGAGGAACAGCTGGAGCCTGTTCCCAGTGTGCGCATGCGCAGAGCTGCCAGAAGACAAGAACAACTAAGAAAGCAGGGTCAACTTGGGAGTAAAGCCGCATCTTGGAGGCGATTGGCCCCTCCCACAGGAAACAAAAGAGGAGCGAACAGGGAGTGGGCTTTTGTAAGAAACAATTTATTCGTTCGTGACTCTGAGAGACTCTGTGCCAAGTTTTGCCTTGTACTGCGTTTGGAAACTAGTTACGTGGCAGCTTGCCAAGCGAGATAAGGTTTGTGTTGATAAATATCCCTTTGAAAAACTGTTTGGACAAACCTTGCTGACTGTGAATGAAAGGAATTCACAGTGGTGTAAATAAAAGAGGTTTTGCCGGGACCAAGACTCTGCTTCCCGCTTTTTAAGGGAGCCTAAGTCAGAACACGGCCAAAACAGAGGTTGGGAGCCCCTTTTCTCTGACGTCGAGCTGGCCACGCCCACTCCGCCCCCCTCGAGGTCAAGCACAACCCTGATGCAGCCCTCAATGAAATCGAGTTTGACACCCCTGGCTTAGTGGAATCAAATATTCTTCATCGTGACAACAATTTGGGCTGCGTCCTGTGGCCATCGCCCGTTTCAAATTGTAACGGGTCATAGTATTATGGTCACTTGCTCTGAGACGCCTCCTTGAACGTCTGAGAACAGTAAGAAAGACGAGAAAGATAATAACACGCTTACCTTTATGTAGCAGTAATAATGTCCAGCGTGACAGCTGAAGCCCGTATGGACTAACACCGCATAAAGTGCGTAAATGATTGGTTCTCCATTGGGTTGGGACATATATGGTCGTATATCTAAATATTCTGGGTATTTCACTTCCTAAACCGGAGAGACAGAGAGGCGCCTCTGAGTTTGCGTGCAGAATCCAATTTAAAACGCACCCACGGAGAGAAAAGCAACCTCGTAAGAATTAAACTTTTACACTTATCTCTACGGAGAACATTGGTTCACACAATGATGTTTGTGAAAATGCCACCAAAAGAATAGAATATAGAATAACAGAGTTGGAAGGGTTTTTCTAGTCCAACCCCCTGTTCAGGCAAGAAATCCTATACCAGTGATGGCTAACCTTTTTGCCATTGCGTGGCAGGAAGGGGGGGGGCGGGGGAGGTTCGTGTGCACGTACCCATAATTCTATGCGCCCCGCCCCTGCACATGTGACCCTCCCTCACCCCACTCCTGGCACATGATGGCCCAGTAGGCCTGTTTTTCTTTCTCACCTGGCTCCAGATTCTCTCTATGCATCTGGGAAGAGCAAAAACAGCCTTCCCCACCCCTCGGAGGCCCTCCGGAGGCCCAAAATGGCCCGTTTTCCAAGTTTTGGTTGGACAGGAAGTGACTTTTTTGCTGTCCCCAGCCTCCAAAGACTCCTGGAGAGGCTGAGAGCTGAGCTGGTGTGCCAGGTGACATGGCTCCGCGTGCCACCTGTGGCATGCGTGCCATAGGTTCGCCATCACGGTCCTATACCATTGCAGACAAATGGCTGTCCAATCTCTTCTTAAAAACTTCCAGTGTTGGAGCATTCACAACTTCTGGAGGCAGGTTGTTCCACTGATTAATTGTTCTCACTGTCAGGAAATTCCTCCTTAGTTCTTCTCTCCTTGATTAGTTTCCACCCATTGCTTCTTGTCCTGCCCTCAGGTGCTTTGGAGAATAGCTTGACTCCCTCTTCTTTGGGGCAGCCCCTGAGATATTGGAAGACTGCTATCATGTCTCCCCTGGTCCTTCTCTTCACTAAACCAGCCATGCCCAGTTCCTGCAACCGTTCTTCATATGTTTTAGCCTCCAGTCCCCTAATCGTCTTTGTTGCTCTTCCCTGCACTCTAGAGTCTTTCTAGAGTCACCAATGAGTGACCCCGAGCATCTCACTTCGTCCCTTCTTCTAAGCATTGTTCATTTAACTCAAAACCTTTTTTTTAATACAATCCTTTATCTGGTTTAATTCTTAGCTGGGTGGGATACTTTCATATATACAGGTAGTCCTCGACTTACGACCAGAACAGAGCCCAGAATTTATGTTGTTAAGCGAGACAGCTGTTAAGTGAGTTTTGCCCCGTTTTATGACCTTTCTTGTCACAGTTGTGAAGGGAACCACTGCAATTCTTTAATAACATGGTGGTTAAGTAAATCTAGCTTCCCCGTTGACCTTGTCAAAAAGTCACAAATTTATCACATGACCCTGGGTTACTGTGACCGTCTTAAATGAGTCAGTTGCTCAGTGTCTGAATTTTGATCATGTGACCACAGCGATGCTGCAACGGTTGTTAAGTGTGAAAAACGGTCATAAGTCACTTTTTTTCCCCCAGTGTTGTTGTAACTTCCAACGGTCACTAAATGAACTGTTGTAAGTTGAGGGCTAACCGTATTTCGTTTGTATTGCTAGAGGGCTACGCCATCATTTAAGGAAGCTCATGTCTTACCTTTGTGATTTTGCCACCACTGAAATTTGCAAACCGTTTGAGGGATAAGGTGAGGACATTCGAAGCCCGGTGTATCGTAAACCGCTTGGATGCAGGAACCATTTTTTTACACCTAAAAAACATAAGGGAGATTTAAGACTTATTTTTTTCTCTCTCGCCATTTTCGGAAGTTCAACCAACTACTTCCTATTTGGAAATTAGTGTCTGAAAACAGTTTTCTTAAAAGATATGAAAGAGAGGTCAAATCATTCTTCTTTTCCTTCCACTCTTTAAGACTCGTCCTCCTTCGATATCCCTTTGGGCCAGGGGTCTCCAAATCTGTCCACTTTAAGACATGTGGATTTCAACTCCCAGAATCCCCCCAGCCGGCAAGCATGGCTGAGGAATTCTGGGAGTTGAAGTCCACAAGTCTTAAAGTGGACGAATTTGGAGAATTTGCTTTGGGCAGTGCTTTCCAGATCTGACCACTTTAAGATGCGTGGACTTCAACTCCCAGAGTTGGAGCTGGGGAACTCTGGGAGTTGAAGTCCACCCATTTTAAAGTGGTCAAAAGTTTGGAAAACAGTGCCCTAGAGATTACTGGGAGATGGGGTTGGGGGGAGAGAGATCTAGAGGGGATCTTTTCATTCTCCTTGAAGGATGCCACGTGCATTTAAGGAGCAAACACAGGGCAAAACAGTTAGTTATACATGCCATCCCTTGCTAAATTAACTATAGCATAGCAAAATCGGTTTGGCATTTATTTTATTTATTTTTATTTTATTTATTAGATTTCTATACCGCCCTACTCCCGAAGGACTCAGGGCGGTGCATTAAATACGAGGTTCTATAACCGAGCCAGACATAGAAGAAGAATCAATTGATGAATTATAAAACATAGGAATTCTCTTTCTTACTTGCTACATTTATATGCATTTTCTCCATCGAGCTGTTCAGGCTTGACAAACTGTTCCAGAGCTTTGTTGACACTTTGAGCTGACTGGAAGGGAGGAAAAACAAAGAAACAAACATGCTTGACTGGGGGAATTCTGGGAGTCCACACTTCTTAAAATTGTCAAGGTTGAGAAACACTTTTCTAGGATGGCAGGGCTCGGCTTAGAGGGCTGTTTTTCTGAGATGTCACTAGGACACCAGAAAAAATAGTCTCAGGAACAGAAAGCTAATGTCTTAACTGATGACAAAGTTCTTTGTGATTGTGGTGACATGAGACAACAACACATATGTATACCTGCCCCTTTGTGTCCTGATCAATGTACATTGAGCTCATGGCAGTGTGACAGAATACACTTAATGTAGCTAGTTTCTGGGCAAGATCAGTTTAATTTGTACATATTTTAATCTTGTATCTTATATTTTAAATTTTATGCCTTATTTTAATTGTGATGCTTCTGACACAAATAAATACATCTACAAAATAATGCCCTTCACAAATGCACTGTGCTAAGTATACTTAAGAATTTGCAACAAACAAACACAGCAGCAAAGAAAACAAGAACCTACCTTTATTTCCAATGTAATATCCAGATAGGGATCAAATGTATCGGAAACACCTTTGCAATTCATGCATTTTACTGAAATTTATAAAAAAAAAAGGAGCAGGTTTAACATACAATGAAAGTTAAAAAAAAAAAAAACCCAGAGTATTTGAAATTCTCAATGAATTTTAAATAAATATTCAAAGAATGGATTTCGTTAGGTGCGTACCTCTAGATCTGAGATATCCTCCGAATATCTGATGAATAAAAGTGGTGGCTTGGGTATGTCTGTCCAATCTAAAAAAACAGAGGCAGATCAAAATGGAACTTTAAAAAACCTCTATCCGTGAATGAAAACAATCACGCACAAAAACAATGTGAACTGCCACTTACTTGTTGCTACCGTTCAAACATGCTTTCTGCATAGCGTCGACCGTGTACCTTAGGAATTCGTGGGCATCTTCCTGGTTACCGAAACGGAAGTGTTTTGCTATTCCTAGATAGTAAAGGAGAACATCACGTTACAGATCTTGGGATTGCTTTCCTAAGAGAATAAGAATCGAAGCGCAGAACAGATGACTGAGGATGGAACAAACCCACCGTTACAGCGTTTTTACTTTTATTAGATTCATCAGGTTGAATTGTTTTGTTTGTTTTTAACATTGTAAGGCCTCCCGGAGTCACCTTGTGATCGAGATGTTGGCAAATAAATTTAATATAAACGAACGAAGGCAACAAACCAAAAACCCCTCCCAGGGAGAGGATAATCCATCAAATGCAGAAAGCAATTTGTGCTACCCGAAGCAGAACTACTAGATTCTGTAATGCTTTGTACCATTGGGTACCAACCACATTAACTCTCAAGATACTTTTTTTCATTATGTATTCAAAATGGACTGTGATCTATCTATCTATCTATCTATCCATCCATCCATCGTATCTATCTACCTACCTATCTATCTAAGGTATCTATCTATTCATCCATCCATCCATATATATATATATGTGTGTGTGTGTGTATGTATGCCTGCCAACCACATTTAACATGTTCAATTTCCTTTATTGTATCATCTTCCATTGAGATCCGTTGGCTAAGGTAGTCTACTATGTCCAGTTCTTCTCCAGATATAAAATTCTGTACTTCCCTCCCTCCTCCCCTCCCCCCCTCTCTCTGTGTGTTTATTTTCTTTTCTGAATGGACATCAGAATTTCTTTTTTTAATGTGTGCCGGTGTGACAATAAAGGTTATCTTATCTTATCTTATCTTTTGTTTGGGGGGAGGGAAATTTAAAGAACAGAGATTCGCAGTGGCATAAAGCATACTATTGTGTCCCTGGGGTTTTTAAGTGGCCAAGGGGGCCCATCGCAGGCCAAAACCTGCCTGGCAACTACAGTAGAGGCTTACGTCTAAGTTCGTTTATGACAGACATCGGCTTGATGACGGTGCCGGAATTGGACAAAGCTTGGTTGATGTGACCTTGCATGGTGCACATCATGCAAAATCCTTGTTCGTGACCTGCATGCAAAGGGGGAAACAAAGAGAGACATATATGCCATTAGGAAACACGCACACTTGACAAACGACAATACTTTGGGCAATCTGAAACAAGAAACAAAGGTTTGGGGGCGAGGGGAAAGGGAAGAGGAAGCAACACAATAGGAACGATCACTAATTGAGGGAATAAATAGTACCTAAAATACTACCCATCTTGAGGAAGCAAGGCGAGCCTATGTGTGACATATACAGCTGTGAAAATATTTAGCCAAACATAGGTTTGTAGTAGTCCTCGATTTACGACTGGCTGCTTAATGACCGCCTGAAGTTACAACAGACCTCCTCAGAGTTGCTTAAGGCCTGGATCTGAAGTTCTGATGTATCACATTCCCCTCCCCCAACGATCATGAGATCGCATTTTGGGCACTTGGCAACTGGCCCACGTCCACAGCATCCTTCCGAGGTCGGTAAAATGAGGACCCAGATTGTTGGGGGCAATAGGCTGACTCTGTAAACCACTTAGAGAGGGCTGTAAAGGCACTGTAAAATGGTATATAAGTCTAAGAGCTACTGCTGATTAGCTGTGGTGGCGCAGTGGTTAGAATGCAGTATTGCAGGCTGACTCTGCCGACTGCCAGCAGTTCGATCCTGACCAGCTCAAGGTCGACTCAGCCTTCCGTCCTTCCGAGGCGGTCAAATGAGGACCCAGATTGTTGGGGGTGAGAGGCTGACTCTGTAAACCGCTTAGAGAGGGCTGTAAACGCACTATAAGGCGGTATATAAGTCTTAAGTAATATTGCTATCCTGTGATTATGTGACCACAATTCGTGGTTTTGTTTTTGTTTTTTTTGCTGGAAATCACCTTTAATTCTGGTTTCTGCCCATTGCAGACGATGGATTTGCTCAACGACTGCAGTGTTCACGAACTGCCGTGATTCACTTAACGACTGTAAACTACTCGCACAACTTACGACCGTAATTCTGGGCTCAATTAAGGCCGTTGAGGATTACCTGTATAGAAACATCTGCCGTGCTGTTCCTACCTGGTTTGGGGAGAAAAAAAACAAACCCTGACCGAGGAACCACCTTTCTGAAGACGATGCTTTCCAACACAGGCTTCCTTTTTTTTTTTTTTTTTTTAAAAATAACCAGTTTGGAAGAAATGAAAAGGATAAAACATACTCACAGGTTTTGGAGTGTTCGTAGGAGAGCATGTAGTTGGCGAGTGGAGGGGTGTATGTCAGACACTGCAGAGCAGAGTTTAGGAAACAGGTGTTGCCGAGGTTTTGGAGACCAGCTCCAACCCGATGCATCTTTTGCCATTTTAAGCAAATCTTCTCTGAGGGGAAAAGGACCTTCTGAGGCGCCGCAATCCCATCGCCAATAACTGTCAGAAATTAAGAGATCAGGAAATTATTTATTTGTTTGTTTGTTTATTATTCATTCATTCATTCATTCATTCATTCATTTACTCTATTTATTTATTTATTATTCAATTTATTTATTTATTCATTCATTTATTCAATTTATTTATTTATTCATTCAATTTATTCATTCATTCATTCATTCATTCATTCATTCATTTATTGGTTCGATTTATATGCCACCCTTCTCTGGAGACTCAGGGCAGCTTACAATGCGTTAAGCAATAGCCTTCATCCTTTTGTATATTTATACAAAGTCAGTTTATTGCCCCCACAAACTGGGTCCTCAATTTACCTACCTTAGAAAGGATGGAAGGCTGAGTCAACCTTGAGCCTGGCGAGATTCGAACTTACTTTAATTGCAGACAGCTGGTGTTAAATTACAGTGCTTCTGTCTGTTGAGCTATCCAGGCTCCTAAGCATGCGCCTGCATATGGACATGCATGTTTATTCGGATGTGCGCATGTGCGCACGCTTTGGGCACTCAGTCCGGAAAAGGTTAGCCTTCACTGCCCTATACCATCATCTCAGACAAATTTGGTCGTCCAATCTCTTCTTAAGAACCAGCCGTAAGTGACTTTTTGTCTGTGCCATTGAAACTTCGAACAGTCGCTCAACGGATGGTTGTCAGTTGAGGATTACTTGTACTGCAACTTTTTTAAGGGTTTTTTTTTTTTTTCCCCCAATAAACACTATTGAATAGCGTTATTGTTTTATTTTTGTAGGAAAGATAAAGAACAGAGGATCGCTCAAGACAGCCCTTGGAAATAACTAGTGTAGGAATAATATAATAATTGAAAGGATTTAAATGAGGTCCCTAACATTGATGTTACCTAGTCTGCTAGAAAATAACCAAGCTCAGGGAGCACCAAGGACCCATAGTCCTTCCCCTTCTCCTCCTCTCCACAAACCCCCTTCTAGCACTGATGATGTTATGTAGTGTGGTAGTGAAATGTCTACAAGAAAAGAACCAAGTGCAGAGAGCACCAAGGACCCCACAGTCCTTCCCCTTCCCCTTCTAATTCTCCACCTCCCTCCCCTCTTCCTCCTCTCCTCTCCCCAAACCCTACTCCCTTCTAGTACTGATGATGTTACCTAGTGTGGTAGAGAAATGTCCACAAGAAAACAAGCAGGCTCAGAGAGCACCAAGGGCCCACGGTCCTTCCCCTTCCCCTTCTAATCCTCCACCTCCCTCCCCTATTCCTCCTCTCCCCAAACCCTACCCCCTTCTAGCACTGATGATGTTACCTAGTGTGGTAATCAAACACCTGCAGAGGAAAAGAGCCAAGCTCAGAGTAGCCCCCAGACAGGCCTCATGTAATAGTTTTAAAAGGGTTTCTTTGTGCTTTTAAATGCAGTTTCATCACTTACCCAGCTCTTTGGCGGAAGGCTTGCATTTATCTGGTCCCGATGTACTGGAATACACCGCGGCTCCTGGCACGGGCTCCAACGAGATCTTGTGTTTCGGAGCCTCTAACGAAGAAGAGACGGCGACCCATCCTGTAGACCCCGAGTCCATGTCACCGGAAGCTGGTGCCAGAGAGTTGAAAGGTTGCTTCTCAGAAGCAGAGGCCTTGGAGGACTCGGTCGTCTTGTCAACTATGGTCATGGTTCATCTCTGGAAAAGAAAAGAGAGGTGGGGGGGAAAAATATATATATATATATATTGAGCTTGTGACAGAAGGAGCAGAGGTTCTACACTTCAGAGAAATAAGAATGGAATGAAAGGGGAAAAAAAGGATTTAGGTCATTTAAAAGAGAAGGAGAACACAATCTCTTTTCCTCTACATCAGGGTGTCCAACCTTGGCAACTGTGAGAGGGATCTTGGAGTCCTAGTGGACAACCATTTAAATAGGAGCCAGCCGTGTGCAGCAGCTGCCAAAAAAGCCAACTCAGTTCTGGGCTGCATAAACAGAGGGATAGAATCAAGATCACGTGAAGTGTTAATACCACTTTATAAGGCCTTGGTAAGGCCACACTTGGAATCCTGCATCCAGTTTTGGTTGCCACGATGTAAAAAAGATGTGGAGACTCTAGAAAGAGTGCAGAGAAGAGCAACCAAGAGGATTAGGGGACTGGAGGCTAAAACATAGGAAGAATGGTTGCTGGAACTGCGTATGTCTAGTTCAGGGGTCAGCAACCTGCGGCTCTGGAGCCGCATGTGGCTCTTTCACCCCTCTGCTGCAGCTCCTTGTCACTCAAAATATGCATCACAACCACCAATGTGTGACACCCACCAGCATACGATTTATTGAGCTTTTCAACCCCCAGTAGGCCAAGAAAAGAAAAGTTTCAGAAGAAAACAGAACGTTTAATTCAACTACATATGCTAGTTTTATGGCCGCTCAAGAAATAGTCAGACACAGGAAAGGTTTTGTGGCTCCCGGTGTTTTCTTTTCTGTGGGAAACGGGTCCAAATGGCTCTTTGAGTGTTTAAGGTTGCAGACCCCTGGTTTAGTTTAATGAAGAGAAGGACTAGGGGAGATATGATAGCAGTGTTCCAATATCTCAGGGGCTGCCTCAAAGAAGAGGGAGTCAAGCTATTCTCCAAAGCACGAGAGCAGGATAAGAAGCAATGGGTGAAAACTCATCAAGGAGAGAAGCAACTTAGGAGAAATTTCCTGACAGTTAGAACAATTCATCAGTGGAACAACTTGCCTGCAGAAGTTGTGAATGCTCCAACACTGGAAGTTTTTAAGTTGATGTTGGATAATCATTTGTCTGAAGGGGTGTAGGGTTTCCTGCCTAAGCAGAGGGTTGGACTAGAAGACCTCCAAGGTCCCTTCCAACTCTGTCATTCTATTATATTAAGATTTGCAGGCTTCAAACTCCCAGAATTCCCCACCCGGACCCCTGTGATTTGACTGCAACAAACTAAGTTAAGTGCCACTAACAAAGAATGATCATTAATAGGACACATCCCTTCCAACTCTGGTATTCTTTATCATATTGTTTTCAGCATTCAGGCTACTGAGAGTCTTCGAATAGTTTTTTGAAAGAGCAGTAGGCATTAAAACAAAAACAGAAAGCAAAACTTAGCAAAAGCTGATGAAAACTATATCTCATGGCTATGGAATAGCATTCGTTCCTCCAACAACTCAAATGCTGTTGACTTTAAAATAGCATTACTTTAAAAAATCCCCCCAATGACTTCCAATTAGATATTACAAACACAACTGTGGATATTTGCGCTGCTTGTAATTTAGTAATGTCAATAAAATAACATCAAAGACACAGTGCAACCCTCATCCTTTTACACACAATGCAGACTTACACCAACCAGAAGGAAGACCAAAAATATCAGTCAAAAGCTCTTGCCAGGGACTGAGGTTAATATTAAGCCTGTCTTTATGACCCTGTTAAGAGGAGTCACCAAAGGATTGTTAAGCCACCACACGGTCCTTAAGGCAAAATCCTTTCCCTTAAATGGCCGTGGGGTTGTGGGTTTTTTTTTTTTGCCAGAAACCATTCCTAAACATAGTAAATCATGGTTACAGGATGCTGCAACTAGTTGCAAATGCTCATCCTTTTATTCATGACAGATTTACAACAGCGGTGGGTTTCAATTTTTTTTTACTACCGGTTCTGTGGGTGTGGCGTGGCTTGGTGGGCGTGGCAGGGGAAGGATACTGTAAAATCTCCATTCCCTCCCCAATCCAGGGGAAGGATACTGCAAAATCCCCATTCCCTCCCTATTCCAGGAGAAGGTTACTGCCAAATCCCCATTTCCTCCCGATCAGCTGGGACGCGGGAGGCAGAGAATAGATGGAGGCGGAGCCAGTCAGAATTTTTACTACGGGTTCTCCGAACTACTCAACATTTCCACTACCAGTTCTCCAGAACTGGTCAGAACCTGCTGAAAGCCACCTCTGACTTACAACCACAACAATAGATGCCCCCGGGGCGGGAAGGCCTGAGGGCACCTTTCAAAAATGCTCTGCAGGTGAAGAAGCTCCTGCACTTGGCTCCCAGTGATGAGAGAAACGTGGATTGCACCAAGACAAATCTTCACTGTCCCCTCAATCTCAAACCCGATCCAGGTGTGGTTATTTTTCCGCTGCGACAGGTGAGTGAGTAGGGGGAGAGGAAGGTGAGTAGCCTGCCAGAGGGACACCCCAGTTTAAGTAACTTAGTAACGTCAATAAAGACACAGTGAAACCCTCATCCTTTTACCCCCAATACAGACTTACACCAACCAGAAGGAAGACCAAAAATATCAGTCAAAAGCTCTTGCCAGTGTGACTGGGCTTAATATTAAGCCTGTCTTTATGACCCTGTTAAGAGGAGTCACCAAAGGATTATTAAGCAACCACACGGTCCTTAAGGCAAAATCCTTTCCCTTAAATGGGCGTGGGGGTTTTGTGCCAGAAATCAGCCCCCCACCCCGAAACATTGTGAACCGCTGCTGGTCGTAAATGCGAGCCGGTTGCCCGCGGCGCCAGTAATGTGATCGTGTGGCCGCGGTCCTAATTTTGAGGATGGTTTATGAGTAGCTTTTTTTAAAAAAAAAAAAAAAATCTGTTGAAACTTCCAATGGTTGTTAAATGATTGTTTTTAAGCCAAGGACTAGCCGTAATATTTAACTCGGTTCCCCAGAGAAACGGCCACAATATCTGTGAAAACGGAAGATGACTTACCTCGGTTTACTGGCCGCTAGAGAAAATTAAACCAATTTATTCAATGTCCAGCGAAAGGCAGGCCACCATTTTTTACTGGTCAAACTTAATATTCTGTCGGTTTAACCCAAGAACAGCCCAACCCCCGCTTGGAACACACGTACACCGAAGTCACTTGAAGAGCGAGGGAATAAACGGATGCACAACTAACTGCCTTTGGATCGTACAGGCAGTCCTTGACTTACGACGGCGATCCAGCCCCAAAATTTCCGTGGCTGAGAAATTCGTTAAGCGAGCTTTGCCTCATTTTACGACTCGCCTTGCCGCTGTTAAAGGAGTAACACGGTGGTTAAGTGAATCCGGCCTCACCCCCGTTGACTTGGCTTGTTGGACGGTCGCCCAAAGCGGATCGCCTGACGCCCCCCCCCCCCCGGGGGACCCCCGCAAACGTCATAAATGTGAGTTGGTTGCCAAGCATCCGAATGCAAATCACGTGGGGATGCTGCAACGGTTGTGTTAAGTGTGAAGAAATGGTCATAAGTCAACTTTTTTTCAGTCCCGTCGTAACTTTAAATGGTCACTAAGGGAACGGTTGTAAGCCGAGTACTACCTTTATATGCTGTCGGGACAAGCCCGTTTTGCAGAAGTTGGGAATAGGACTGGGATTGGTTGTAAGTTTGTGTTTTTTATTTGCCTTTTAAAAATTCTATTTTATCCCTCCCTTTTTTTTAGCGACTTGGAGTTACAATTTGTGGGTTTATTTACAAGTTCTGCAGGCAGCTTACAATTCTTTTCTTTAAAAAAAAGTAATTTTTATAAAGGGAACAGGATAAAAGCAAATAAAAACCTCTGGGGGGAGGAAAAATGGTCAGGGATTACACCAATTCCCCAAATCCAGCTGGGCCTGAGAGATCTTTAGGACATTTGATAAGTGTATATGTGCACATATACATTCCTATATGCATCTTAGGAAGATGCTGCTCCAGAGGGCAGGTGAGGCAAGATAAAAGGTGTACTTTTTCAATCCTGCAAGGTAAACGATGTTTAAATGACTCAGAACGCATCCACTCTGCCTGATCACACCAGACCGGCAGGAACAATTGGAGACACTCAAATAAAAGTCAAGGAGCACCAGTGAAAAATGAACGAACATGAAATATAAAGACGACCAAATACGGTTTGGTCTTGCAGGACCAAACGGTTGCAGGAACTGGGTATGTCTAGTTTAATGAAAAGAAGTAGTAGGGGAGACATGATAGCAGTCTTCCAATATCTCAGGGGCTGCCCCAAAGAAGGAGGAGTCAAGCTATTCTCCAAACAGGGTGGATTTGATTTAAATCACAATTTAAATCATGATTTAAATCACTAGTAAAAAGGCTTGATTTAAATCAACTCGATTTAAATCATAATTTTTAAAGAGCAACTGTCATCTCTGCTACTCCTTTGACCCACTGTTGACTCACCGATAGTCCCAGTGTTGCAGAATATACAGCCTCATGCTACATAACTAAGCTCCATTTCATGCTGAATAAACTAAATTATTTATGTATCTTAAATAGAAAACTATCTTACGATAGATTTTTACCCCAAAAGTTTTTTATTAAAATAAATCCGATTTAAATCAAAAAAATCCGATTTAAATCAAAAAAATCTGATTTTTTTGATTTTTTTTAAAAAAATCATTGATTTTTATCCACCCTGTCTCCAAAGCACCTGAGGGCAGGACAAGAAGCAAGGGGTGGAAACTCATCAAGGAGAGAAGCAACTTAGAACGAAGGAGAAATTTCCTGACAGTGAGAACAATTCATCAGTGGAACAACTTGCCTCTAGAAGTTGCGAATGCTCCAACACTGGAAGTTTTTAACAAGAGATTGGATAACCATTTGTCTGAAGGGGTGTAGGGTTTCCTGCCTAAGTAGGGAGGTAGTTAAGGGTTACTCATTGTTTTAAAGCCTATTTATTAATATTTAAGCTTTTAGAGCAGACCCCGGGGCTGAAAAA